GTGTGTGTTATACTGCAAAGATAAAGTATTTTATAAAACATGGGAACCTTTTATGTACTATTTTGGTTTTGATGCTTCTGGTATTCTTCATTCTTGTGTAATCTGCTTCAGTAGCCATGTCCAGCTTGAGCTATATGCCTGTATTTATGAATTTATGTCATTCTGTTCTGTTTTATTGTGTTGTGCTGACACATTGTATAATACATAAAAGTCAATAAACATATGCATAAAAAAAACATAGCAAATACCAAAAAATTTGCTATATTGAATAAACAATAAAATGCAACTGACATGACAGTAGACTTCCGGTCTGTCAGTGGATTTGCCTCACCATGGATCTGCAGCCAGGGCCTTCTTTGGACAGCACCTAACAATAATAATGATAATAATTCCACCAGCAATACTTCCGCAGTTAGTAGAAGACTTCCACATAAATGCCACCACTTTGCATTCTACATTTAAAAATGAGCGTTTCATTGTGTTGTGAGCATTGCGCACAGTGTGCACTGTAAACAAATAAATACAAAACCAGACAGAATTTCTTTTCTGTAATTGAAAAGCACTCATTGGTATATCAGCTGTCAGCCTTGTTCAACTTGCAAAACTTGAATCATGGCAAAGCTACACATATATTCTCTACTGTTATATAAGAACTGACAAATTCCCACAAACATTCCCATTCATGGCCTCTGCTCTCGTTCTTTTGTGCTCAATTGTTCTTTTCGAATTTCACCCGCTTGCGAAGACAGATTGCCCTGATGCACAGACAGAGATGGTCAAAAGGTAGTTTTTACTGCCTGGCACGTCAGAGAGCCATTCCTCCCATTCCTGGGTGCCATCAGCTGACCTTTGCACCGATACTCCTCTTGTGCATGTGAATGTAAACAATAGTGGGGTGGCCTCCTGGGATCAGTGAGGCTGTTGGATTTAGACTCAGGATGGCTCAGAAGTCACGCAGGTGATACAGGTACACAAGTGACTCACCAATATGAACTGCAATGCCTGTTTGTTCAAAGGGCAAGATTAATGTTTCTGTGTTTCCCTTATGTCTCTATGCTGCATTTTGTCACTTTCAAAACTGGAATATCTGGATTTTGAGACACGGGCCTCTTTCAAAACAGCTACCTTAGTAATGCCACATTAAGGTGTGTACTTCAGTAGAATGACCAGGGTTATCAAAGCGAATGACAACGTGGATTTTACAGGAATGGGGTGTTTAACAAAGGGCATCAGAGGCGGGGCTATGGAAGCTCACAGAGAGGCTGCTCTGTTATCTCCAGCGAGAGCCACAACAGACCAGGATATGGTTTAAAAACCCATCATGGTGAATCAAAATATCGCTTTACACAATCAATTTCTCCATTCAGGTGGTGCTTGCTTGTTTTAGGATCACCAAAGCAGAGCATTTATTGTTATTTTAAAGGAGAACAATGGAAAGAATGACAGGAAGAATAACCAGACTTTTGTGTATTCAGCGTAATCCTGAGCGGGTGGTTGTCAAATTAAGCACCATGGACATTTATGGTGACTGGAAGGCAGACTTCATACAATACCTAGCATGAATGAGAAAATCATCGGTCTCTCTTTAGAATTAATACTTTGTATGGGATCATATGCCATAAAATATTCCAGCAAATCTGGTTTATTCGTCGCAAATGAGATTTGTCTGCCCAAAAAGCACAATTGGAATTTCTTTAATAAAATGATTTATGATCATGGTGCAAAAATGAGTACAAGGTCTTACAAGGTCTTAGGAATAAAACTTGATAAAATGCTAATTAACAGGAATTCAACAACAGACGACTCTACTCTTGCGGCCACCTGACAGTTAAGGATGTATCAACAAACAGAATCCCCTCCCAATGAATGCTGACAATAATGGCACCACATGAAAGAGAAATGTCTCGAGAAAGAAAGCAGTTTCTTTACAGAAAAAAGTCAAGACTACAAGAAAATTAATCAGAAATTCAAAAAGGATTAACTTCTTGTAAGCTCTGTGAGATGTCCGGACCGTCTACAGAAGGTAACATCTAGACCTGAGTGTTTTGTGATAAGAAGAGTTAACAGAAGAGAAAATTGCCATACAAGTTCATCATAGTGAGCTAAAGCAGTAGAAAGTCAGGTGACTGTTTCCTGGGACCAGGGGCATCAGAGGGGCATGGATACTATCACAGATTCAGGGGGTCCAGTACTTTGCAGGGACCCCAAAATCCACCCAACCTGAGCAGGGAGCCCAAGGTGACATTTTTCCAGGGGACCTGGGATGACTAGACACTCCCCTGGCCGTCACACAATGCGGCTTCCTCTGCAGTGGAATGGCATGCAAGGGTGTTGTTCAAAAAGGAAGCCACTTCCAAAGCCCAGGCGGAAAAAGGCATGTATAGCATTTGTCAGGGCTTATGTTGACAATGGTGAAAGGTATCGGGACTCTATACTTTGCATTCATGAGACAAAGATAAATCTATTTGGAACTACTGGCATCCAAACTGCATGGCGTCACAAGGGGGCGAGGAATACAACGAAAAATGCATGCTACCCACAGTAAAGCATGGTGGTGGCGGTGTTCTTCTGTGGGGGTGTGAGTGCTGCAGATGTCGGGGAATTGCACTTCACTGATGGCACTGCAAATTCACGGATGTACTGGGAAATACCGAAAGACAAGGTGCTACCATCTCTCTGTGCCTTGGGTCGGCAGGTACCCTCTCAACATAACGACCGAAAGCATATTCTGTAACCCAAAACATACATCCAAAGTCAGTGCTACATGGTGAACATTATTCAGTGGCCAAGCATGTCCCCCACCCTCAACCTGTGGGACGTTCTGAAAAGACAGGTTGAGCATCATTCTCCGTCCAGCATCCAGGCTCTGAAAGAGCCTATTTCCCAAAAGTAGAGAAAGGCAAACGTGGTGGTATGTCACCAATTCTTTAATCCATGCTAGAAGAGCTGGTGCTGCGCTTCAAAATCATGGCGGATATACAAAATATTAGATTTGGTGGAATTAGTTGTAGGGTATATACTGTACAGGGTTCAGATCACGCAGTGTCATTCAGGTTAGTCCTGTTTTCTGGTGTGAACCATAACATGTGTTGACACAACACATTACTTGCTAATCAAAAAAAGCTAATCATCATTTCACATTACGTCTACTTGACATTTTGACATTCTGACTATCCATAAACCACCTCAAAATACACAATAAAAACGGTTTGGTTTCTTTCATTCAAATACCCCACCCACGTAATGAGTTCAGGCGGCTAAAACTAGTAATGAGTGCAGTGACCACAGCAGGAACAGACACAGAATTGTGTTAATTAGTAGAGAGAAATGTTTGGAAAATGTAATGTAAAATTTGAATAAACATACAACGCTGACATATTTATACTATTACTACTTTATTTCAGGAACCTTATTGTATGGAAAACAGAATATATCCTATAAGTGGACGATTTTTAGTATTCCCCCTAAATGTTTTTTCAAGGGAGCTTGTGCCCTTTTCTGGGGGGCTGAGCTCCCCTTAGGGCAGGGGTGTCAAACTGCAGTCCTGGGGGGCTGGAGCCCTGTGTAACTTAGTTCTTTCCCTGTTCCACCACAAACGATTCTATGTGGTAATTAGCACAAGATGTTGAATCAGGTGTGTTAAATGAGGGGAAACCCAAAAATGTGCAGGGCTCCGGGCCTCCAGGACTGGAGTCTGACACCTATGCCTTAGGGTATGCAGATGTGAAACAGAACACAGAGATACAGAGGTACAAGATTACGCAGAGTCTTGACAGTGAGATGCAGAATCTTCAAGTCAATCCAGTATCTAACAAGGTAGCCAATGAAGTTGCCGGAGGACAGGAGTAATACGTTCTGTGGAAGAGGTTCTGCTAATGACATGGACAGCTGGATTCTGAACCATTTGATGTTTGTGGAGGAGTTTATGTAGAATACCAGAGAGGAGGATAATGCAGTAATCAATGCAAGATATAATGAGAGCGGTTGGAGTAATATTAATATTAATATGAGCTTCAAAATATAACATACTATGCAGGATGACACCCAGACTTGTAACCTGGGGGGATGGAGAAACACTGAAATTGTCATCTATCAAAGAAAAATTGTCAAGTTTGACTAAAGCAGTTTTAGTACCAATTAGGAGAACTTGTTTTATTACTATTAAGTTAGAAACAATTAGAGGACAGCCAACATTCAAACTGTTGTGAACGATCACAGGAGGAGGATGGTGGAAAAGTAGAGCTGGGTTCATCAGCAAAACAGGTCACACTGTGCAGTTCCTAGGGAGGCTGCCTAATGCATAGTGGCTGTCACGGGTCACTTGGATATCAGATATCACTTGTATTCCTACCTTCTGCCAACATGGCAACACATCGAACATCGCGTGGGCCAGAACGCAGTTCAGCAGGTTAGTGCACTGTGGCCTAAGACTGGAGGTTTATTGTCAGACTCCTGAACAAGGCCCTTAACCACAAACAGCTTCACTTGGCTTATTTAGAAAAAAGTGCCTACTAATCTCTTAGTAGTGCTAAAGAATTTCTTACAGAATTATCTTCAGAAGTTCAGTAGGGGGGGTGGAGGTCAGGCTCCCCCCCCCCCCCCCCCCCCCCCCCCCCCCCTCCCCCACTCTCACTCTCACTCTCTCACACACACACACACACACACACACCTGGCCTTTAGATTGAAGCCTTACAAACAAAAACCTGTGGTGATATTGAAGCTCGTCTGAAATGCCATTCTATGTGTGAAAAAAAAAAAAAAAATGTAACAAAAGATTATTTCAAACTTCCATGACAACTATTTTAACATTTGTACAAGAAAACAAGACACTATTTCTTCACCACTCAATGAGCTTATTGTCTCAACCCAAGTCTCACATCCTCCCCGACGACGACTGGACTTGCAGGTTGAATTCCTGTCCCTGAATCAGGAAGCAGCAGCAAGTTTGGGGCATAGCAGCAGTACTGTGCAACCTCAGCTCCATCAAATGTGACGTTCAGTTTTTTTTTTTTTTTTTTACAAACTTTATTTAATTCGCCGTTTCTATTAAGTTAAAATGACGAAATGAGAAACACAGACAGAAGTGTGGTGGGAAGAGATGTGCCCTTATGTCATTATGACAGCAGCGTCTCCTGTGGTCTCAGCACATGGTCCATGCTTTTATCACAGCAGGGCCATGAAGGACATGTGAGGCCCCAGAGGAGGACAATGGACACAAATCTGACACCCAGGCTGCTTAAACAGGAAGAACAAAGCAGCAGAAAACGACACGAACGCGGCATCGGGAACACAGAGCCTCAGAGGAGCATTCGGTCGTCTTCACTATGTAATCCTCTTTGATTCGAGCTATTCCTCATGAAACACGATAAAAAATGTTATACAAAACTAGATCTCTAAATTATTAAAGCGCAGCAAACAGCAACAGAAGTACAAAAGCACAAGCAGCACAGGTTTGACCAGAGCGCCCCCTGCTGCTCACTCGCTTTCAGCATCATCGCTGATTATTCCTCGCAGGTTGCTCCAGTCGGTGCCTCTCTTCCGGGCCGGTCCGCCTGCTGGGGCCCCTTCCTCACTGTCTGAGCTGGAGCCCAACATGGGTTTGTAGGGGGCCGCTGGGGACAGGGGTACCTGGGGGGGTGGCCAGTGGGACGTCGCTCCGCGGCGGGGCCGTCCTGTGAGGGGACATGGTGGAACGCAGGGCTGAAACCACAGCAGAGTGGGGTGGCAATGGAGAGCCGTGGGGGTTCAAAGATGGAGGAGGATAGAGCGCCGCTTTAAGCCAGGCGTCGGCTCAGAGCCGGAGAGGCCAAAGGCAGAGACGAGGCTGACGGGAAAAGCAAAATCTCAGCGGAGTCACACAGAGTCCACGTGCCAAAGCTCACTGAAAAGGCTGAAAATGCGAGTGACACGAGGCCACAAGGCTGACAATGTCACACCACCGCTCCTCTATTTTATTATGTCCATCTATACCCGGGACCCCCCCCCCAAACATGCGTCATGCACGCCCGCCCATCCATCCATCCATCCTATGGGGGATTATTATGCGTTTCACAAAATGTTTAATATACCCTTTTTATATCACAGCCATTATAAATCTGATTATGAGCTTTAGGATTTACAGTAGGATTCATCCACACGTACAGCACCTTTAAATGTGCTTCGCGACGTGTGGTCGGGCCACAGGAGGAAAACGCCTGTGCAGCGCATTGCAGGTCGTACGCGTGTACCTGACCCACGGCCGTCTTGGCCTCAACAGGCACTCCAAAGCAAACAAACAAGGTGAAAAGACGTGGTATGATGTTTGGGGACAGAGCGTGAGAAGCACCTGTCCTCACAAAGGCAAGTTCAGCGAGACTCAATGCAGCGGGGAATGGCTATCGGAAGGACATGGGATCTGCCAAACTAAAGGCTGATGTGGGATTTCAAAGCGGTCTGGAGAGACGCCCACGGCGGCTTCAATCGGGGAAGAGAACCAAGCCAGTGAGTCCAAAGCGGATCAAAGCTGGGGGAAGGTAACAGGTGTGCAGGGGTGACTCTTTCAGACCCAGAGGTCAGGCACTTCAGAGGAGCAGGACTGACACACCTGAATACAGTGCCCCAGAACAAAGCACAAGTAGACAATATGTAGAGGCAAGGGACTGAAATACAGTGTAAAGGCTGGTTCATACTTCTCCGCATGCGTACTAGTGGACTTGCCCGCTCAAACATTTATGACGCATTTGCCATCATTGTGCACCTCCTCCGGCCTGCTGCACTGCACAGGCGGCTCCGGGGTGCACTGCACAAGGCGGCTCCGGGGTGCAGTGCACAAGGCGGCCCCGGGGTGCAGTGCACAAGGCGGCTTCGGGGTGCACTGCACAAGGCCAACTCGCTAGCGTCCACTTTAAATACCAGCATGGACGCTTTCAACCAGTGTTGGGGTAGTTTGGAAGCCCTGCAGACTATTTACAAGGTAATAATACTGTTACGTACACCTTAATGTGGGTGTGAGTGCAGACTAGTCTGAAATTGAAAATCTCACACCAGCCAGCTGCCCAAAGCTGGCAGCCCTGTGTGTTGGCTCTCAGAATTTATAAGACGTGGAGAAGCGGGCACAACCCTGACTGCTGTGGCACTTGTGCAGGGAACATCAGAATAATAATGTATATTAATAATAATAATAAAAATATAAATACAACACGTTATGCACATGTGCAAAGTATGTGGCTTGACCACAGAACTATGACAGTTTTCATGTACGCATACGCAGAGTGGATACACGAGTGTTGCGCTTGTGTGGCGATGAACCAGCCTTAAGTGATCTTGTGGCTCCCGTCAGAGTGGACATAAACTGCCTGTTCCAACACAGCAGCGACTTCTGGTGCCACCTAAAGGCAGCTAGGTTAATTGACTGCAGTTAACCTCCCCCTGGAGTTCTCTGAATGCGCCTCGGCCTGGGATTTTTATTTAAAACTTAACCCAAAGAGAGACTCAGAGTATCCGGGTTTGATCTGATATATAGCACTGCCATCTAGTGATTTTTTATTTATTTAAAAAAAAAATGCAAAACAACATGCTTCTACTCCTCCGATTGCAACGTCAGGCTATGTATTGGTTTCAAAACGCATCACACGTGTACTAACTCTGCATAAGTACAGGTGGACAGTATACCTTTCCTACTGTAATGATGCTGGTGTTTTCATATTAACATGTTTCTGCTACACATAATGTAATTCTTTCTTGGGGAGGTGAGGATTTGCGAGCAGAGTATGTGGTAGTGACGTCGGCGTCAGCCCAGCCACAGCCCCTCCCCAATCCCTCCTGCTAGAGGGGCGTTACCTTGTGTGGTTATGATGTTGGACACATCCAGCTCTGCCAGCTCCTGGGCCTCCTCCCGCCTGAGCCGTGCTCGCTTACACTTCTCTATCGAGGGCTGACCTGCAGCACGGAATCACTGTCAGAACGCCAGCTGCGTGGGTCACTGGGCCCAGTGGGGGAGGAGGGGGGGGGAGGTGTACGGGTACTCTGACCTTTGACCCCTAGCTCCTCCAGCTCCCGCTTCAGCACAGCGACCTTTGACTTGACAGACCGACATCCGTCGAGGAGCTTCTTGTAGTTCCGCCTCACACCACAGAGGGCAACGTAGCGCTTCAACCTGGTCACCGCTGGGTCCTCGTCATTCTAGTTTTTACAGGCATCCCATGAGCACAGCTGTTCCAAGCACACAGACAAAGAGATGCATAGATGGGTCCAATTACCCCTTTTCCTTTGGAGGTACCACGTCCTTCCTCTGACTTCTTCTGACTCTTCACTTGCTGGGGTTTGACTTTACTGCCCTGACCATCCTCCTCCTCCTCCAGGGAAGGAAGTGATGAAGAGTCAGAATCTGACCCTGAATCCCCTCTACTCTCCGCCTTCGCTGCTCCAGATTTTTCTGAAAGGGGGAAAATATGACAAAACAGACTCAACAAGCAGAGATCAGGGCATTCCCCTTCCACCCTCCCCACATCTGCACCCACATGAGGAGTATTCTGCTTAGCCTCTCCCTTACCTTCTCCATCTTCTCCTGAAGACAGGTTGCTCCCGTCTTGCTGCGAAGCCCCCTCTGCTGCACCCGCCTCTCCCCTGTGCTCTTCCTCATCATCACTCCCTTCTGACTGTTTGGAGCGATTCTTGCCTGCAGCCTTCTTCTGCCCATGCCCCTCATTCTCAGTGTCCCCCTCTTCCCATTCTGCCGCCCCCTTACTTCCCTTTGCCGGAGGGTCCTCTTCCTCTTCACTCGCCGGAGGAGCCTTCCTCCCTTTCCATTTTCCTCCTTTCTTCTCCTTTGCACTTTTCATGTCATCAGTGTCTGAATCCCCATCCCTCTTTCCCTCTTCTTGTTCACTGTGGGACTCGTCCGCTGCTCTTTCATCCCGCCTTCTCCCATTCTTCTTCTTCCTCCTCTTGACATCCTCTTCCTCACTCCCCTCCTCCTCCTGGCCGTCTGTGCTCTTCCCAGTGCCTGTCTTTTTGGTAATCCTGTGTCGTACCTTCTCTCTCTCCTTCCTTTTGGCAGCCGCTGCTATGGATGGTTTTTTCTCTTCCTCTTCCTCACTCCCAGCTTCACTGCTCTCTTCCTCATCTTTCTCTTTCCTTCCACCACCTTGGGGCTCCCTGGCGGCTCTCTCTATTCCGGAATCTGGAGAGTCTGTGAAGGTAAAAGCTGGAGTGGTAACTACGATCATGGACAGAAGCACTGGAGCACGCACCTCCTCAGGACAGGAAGAGGGGGGCAGACCTACCTGGAAGCGTTACTTCTAGTCGAGACTTCTTCAGCTTTGCCACCTCTTCTGCGTGCTCCTCATCCTCCTCTTCATCCTCCCGTCTCTTCCTTTTAGACACCTTCCTACTGAGAGGTTCATCGTCACTGCTGCTGTCCTACAAAAAGTTGCGGTGAAACACTGCTTACAGGTGTATATCACTAATTACTGCCACTACTCTACAGCTACATAGTGTCCATGAAGATGTGCACCTCACAATTCCTGCTCTTAAGCAGATGCTGAAACACAGGCCAGCTCAAACCCTGAGCCATCCAGCCAAATACCCCACACAAGCCAGCTTGCTCTATGTACAAAAATATGTACAAAATATAGTGTACAAAGTACAACAAAACTCACACTTGAGTTTCTTATTTGCAAACTTTAACAAGCAACGTTACTTTTCAATACAGTTCCAATATTTAGAAACCTTGGTGATTAATTCCAGTGGTCCACTGTATAATTACTCAGAGTTCCTTAATGTTTATGGTGTTCCAATATCTCCAAAGGAATACGCGATTGTTTTTGATGCCATGTTACTAAGAGGTGCTCCTTCATCGATTGATAATTACCCCTGTAATTCTGCTGTGTGCGAAATATGTTTTTCAGCTTGCTCCTCTAAGAACAAAAAGGGCACTTTTTCAGCATAATATTGTCTCTGTCCCTCATATCATACTGAAGAGTGGTGTGGCTGAACATATTCCTCGAAACGGAGTATGGTACTTAACTTTTAAAAGTTACATTTAAATTACTCCATAAGTTTTACCCAGTTAAAGTATGGCCTGCATAGTTTAAAAAGGACCGTCATACCAAATGCTCCTTTTGTGACCGTTTGCCTGAATCGGTTGTGCATTTGTTTTGGTCATGTAATCACTCTGTAAAATATTAGCCTGAGGTACTTTGCTGAAATCAATGTGTGTAATGACTTCTGATTTACTTTTCAAGATTTTTTTTTTTTTGCATTTTCAGGTGATGAGAGGAAAAATATATAAACAGTGTAATTAAACTGCTTTGTATGCTGGCTAAATTCCACATATGTAAATTTAATAAATCCAAACCCCTCTTCTGTCATGCGAAACAAGAGCACATCCAATACTGAGACAAATGAGAATTCTGAGAATGTAAAGGGACCCAAAACAATTTTACGCTCTACTTTTTGTTGTCTTTGGAAGCAAAATGATGTTCTATAATGTGACAGTTGTGATTGAAATATGCATGTACCCCCTGGCTGGTTCGTGTGTCTACACACATATATAAAATTTTAAAAGAGGCCCTTGAAGGAGGCCGGTCCCAGGGATGTGAAACACAGGCCAGCTCAAGCCCTGAGCCACCCTGGTTAGAGAGTGACGTTACGCGGTTCCCACCTCCATGTTAAGCAGCTCCTCCTCCACGGCCCGTTTCAGCAGCTGCAGCTCCTCGCTGCTCAGCGAGTCCCGGCCCACATGCTGCAGATACCGCTGCTTGATTATGCGCTGGCTCAGTTTGCTGGAGGGTAAAAGACAAAAACCATAAAACATCACAGACATCAGCGCGACCAGCATCATTCGCCACGTTAACGCGAAACCCGACGCATTGGCACTTCACAGTTTTACAAAAACACACGTCTCAATACCATAACTCCCTAATTGGGAAACTATATAATCAGTGCAGGAACTTAAGAATTTATTTCCTACTTGTTAACTCGGCTAATTCATAAAAAAAAAAAATTGCAGTTCGACCTGCAGTTTTTTTTTTTTTTTTAATAGCCAGCGGGCTAATGTTCAGTTTTTTGTACTTCGTCTATATTACTCGCCAATGGTGAGTGGGCTTGATTAATTTCCAGCCCTGCATATAAAATAATATGTGGATTCGGTCGCGCTTTCATAGCGGAGATCCATTCCGAGGCTGCTGTACATTGAGGCTGTCGCAGTAACTAATACTACACAAGCAAACAAATATCTGAAATTACAGTTTGTCGTACCTGAGATCCCGACAGCTGCGCAACTGCTTGGAGACGAACTTTCGCATGTGGAGCCGGAGGGGCGCCATGCTCGCCTCTATAAAAGCCGCCGGCAGGCCCGGCAGTCAGCTACGTCCCCACTCCCGCGCTGCGCAGATGGCTACAGCGCGCATGCGCGGGCCACGAGCTCCAGGAAGGCGTGACGTTGCACGTCAGGAGTCCCGCGTCCAGGTATGACAGCGGGTTTAAACTCAAAAACCACAAGATTTTACTATTACAAAGCTTTTTATTTAGAGTGTTTCCGCATCGAAACGCGGGTAAGTCAGAGTGAGCGCAGGTCACTGTTGGCAGGTTAGGGTCGTTTTTTTGGTTCGACAATAAAATTACACCGTACCTCAGAAAAAACTGCACATTTTCCGTAGAAACGCTAAAATTACAGTGACATTAAATTATCATTAATTTGTAATGTGCATTTATTTATTTTTTTGAATCAGAATAAATAAAAACAATAAATACACGAATAAAATGTCCCGAAATGAACTCACATACACATGTAAACATACATAAAATTAAACTTTGAAACAAATTTCCATTTGAGATGTTTTTAGCCTGGTCCTAGTTAATGCACCGTCTCTGCCCATGTACTTAGTGAAGCAGCAGCCCACCCTCATGCCCGATTCCCTCTGAGGGAGAAGCTGTCAACCGCTTCCTTCTCTCTGTGGCGCCTCCCTGCCACAGTCTGAGTGCTTGTGTGAATTCTCCGCTTGTTCCTCCTTCGTCCCTTTGCCTTCAGTCCTTGTAAACGGTCTGGAGGCCATGCCCTCTCTCGTCGTGCATGATGTGCCGCCGCACATGGATTCGCCGCACCCTGCGGTCTCCACCCCCACCACCATCCTCCTCTGATTGGCCGGCGCCCGGCGAGGAGCTTGCCGCCCCAGACTCCAGCAGGGCCAGGCCCCCAGGGCCAGAGCCACGCCCATTCTCATAGATGAGGATATTGAGGGTCTCTTCAAAGATGCGTGCCTCCGGAAATTCAACCTGTGGGCGGGTGATGTGTCAAAGTGGGATCCCACACATGGCCTGACTACCAATCCTGAGCCCGACTGCTGCCCTGCTGAGACCCAATGCCCATTTGTGTGCGTGCTCCCAATCCTAATTCACTAATGATGTTAAGTCCCATCCCCTTCTGTGTTCCCTCCTCCCATCCCAGAGCCACATCTGCACCTTGGTCTGCTTCTTCTCCGTGGCGTAGACAATGGAGGTACAGCAGACCTCGGCGATCTTGCGGCCCTCGCCGTAGAAGGACCAGCAGCAGATCTCATCCCCTAGCACATCCTTAACAAACAGGACCCTGCCATTGAAGCGCAGTCCCAGCTTATCGAACAGCTCAATGTTCTTCAGCAGGTTGTCATCGGAGTTGCTGAGGGAAGGAGAAGCGCCACCTGACGGCCTGTAATCCATATTACATACATACAGCAGCAGGCTAATGCTAAAGCCTGCTGGGATATGTGTGGTGTGTGTATGTGTGTGAGAGAGCGTTAGTGTTAGCTTGCTAGTGTGTGTGTGTGAGGGTTAGCCCACACCAGCAGGCTAATGCTAACTCTCTCTCTCACACACACATGCACCAGCAAGCTAACCCCCCCCCCCCCTCACACACACACACACCAGCAGGCTAATCCTCACACACACACACACACGTAGGGTTAACATATCCTTATGGGGACCGCTCATTCATTTCAATGGGAAAAATGCTAACGCTAACTATGACAACCTTAACCCCTACCCTGCCCTAACCATAACCATAAGTAACCTAACAAAATACAAGAGTTTTTGCATTTTTAGTTTTTTCATAGCAGTCACCGATTTTTATAAAATAGAGTTTTCCCTTATGGGGACCAGGAAACCAGTCCCCATAAGGGAAAAAAAACGGATATTTATCACGTTATGGGGACATTATGTCCCCATAAGGATAGGTAAGCCCGCTCACACACACACACACACACACACACACACACCAGCAAGCTAAAGCTAACACACACACACCCCAGCAGGCTAGCCCTTACACGCACACACACACGTGGCCTAGAGGTACACATGCTGTGACTCATACCTGGTATATGAGTACTTGTTGTTCCCCCTGTTGTTCTGCAGTTTCACCACAGGCTGAAAAACAGAAGTGCAGTTACACAGGCTGGGCAATCCCCGTTGCTGCTTCCTCGCGTGATGAAAGCACAGGACTATTCCAGGAAAGCCACGATAGGCTCTCCAGTGCTGCCATGGTTCTGGTTACCATGTTCGATGACCCGACCAGGCCAGAAATGTCCCAAGGTCCTGAGTGCCCCTCACCGCCCCCCCATCTCCCACCTCACCTTGCGGCAGCTGGCGATCATACGCTGCTCCTCCTTGGCCGACGTGATCATGGGGATGCGGCACAGGCCCTCAAAGCACTCAGACCTCCTCTGAAAGGCAGGAGTGACAGCACAGTGACCTCGTGGGGTTGCGGGCAGCACCATGTAATCGCTTACCATCATTACGAGACAGCTGACCACAGTTTCATAACCACCATCCAAACAAACAGGGACTAATGCATCATGGAAGATCATGATGTTGGAGAGGCAGCCTGGCCGTTAAAGTCAGTGCCACCTAACCTCTGCACCGTCATTACACACTTAAAGGTGAGTGGAATGGGAAGGACACTGGAGAGCCTGGTTAAATATTTATTGAAAAATCAAATATTGGTTAAGAGTCACTCAGCTCAGATCATGATGCCAAAATGCTTTTAATGGTGAAAGTACATGGGGAGGCGAATGGGCCCAACCTTGAGAGCTGCAAGGCAGTGCTGGATCAGTCCCTGGACCCGGTAATATTGGGCCTCCATCAGAACCTCCTCCAGCTCCCTCTGGGACTCTGGCAGTGGCACGGAACCGTCACGCAGGAAGTTGAGGACTACTCCGAAATGGCGGCCACAGCGGTCCAGCACAACCCAGCCTGAGAGAGAAAGAGTGAGCGAACCGAGGAGGCCTGGATTTACAGCCGTGCTCGCAGATGTACACACGTACGACTAGAGTCACTCTGTGTTCAGGTGACTCAGAAGTCACACAAGGCGAGTAAGGAGGTAAACTAGTTCAACAATCTGAGTGTGAAGTGACATATATTGTGCTGGTGTGTACTGCCTAACATCACATCTCAGAAGGTCCTAGAACCCAAGGCGGACAGCTCAGAGGGTGTGGTGCTCACCCTCCTGGTCGATGGCGACCTCCATACCGCCGCTGCACATACGGCTTAGCAGACTGTCCTCCTTGCTCAGCGTCTGCACAGTGGTGTAGTGCAGCGAGCCCCCCACGTTCAGCTTCACATACTTGCTCCCAGCCAAGCCGCCCCCCGCCTTGTCCTCGCCTGCCCCACCTGGGGATGGCAAAGCAGGAAGAGACTCCAGCGCTAGGCTCCCCGTGGAGGCTTCAGCAGACATCAGGCGTGCAGAGGCGCTGGGGGGGAGGAAACACAGCATCCTCATAGGACCACCATATTTACCGTCACTCTAATGAGCAATGCAAAAGACAACCTTTTTATTTCAAATGCGAGCTCAGGTACATGTCCAGGCATTGTTTAGGTCCATGCAGGATTTATAGTGTACCCTACGTCCAGGCTTTTAGACTGGATAACGCGATCACGTAAGTGACAGCCCAGAGTGCACTTCTACCAGGATGGACAGTAAAAGTGTATCCCGGGAGCCTAACTGATCAGTGACGATAATCTGTGACAGAAACCGGATGCCAGTACTATCTCTCACTATAAGCTGGCATGAGGGTACGCCAGGCTACGGCTGACTGAGCCCACAGAGACGGACAGCTAGCCAAGCTAGCAGGCTAACCGCCCGACTCCCCCACCGCACACACTCACCGAAACCGCCTTAAAAGTCGTCTTCTTTATACTCCGCTGTCCTTATCTTACAGCAGAATAAATATCTACAACAGAATAACACAAGACGAAAATCTAATGGAGGAAAAAGAAATCCCCCCTAGGACATCACCATCTCATCAATAAACGGTAAACACCAGCCTTACGGAATACGTCTTCCTCTTTCTTTGCACTTCGAACACTTACAATGGCTGCCCACCCACTGCCATGGCTAGTTAGGAATTTGATTGGCCGAACTAGCCGTCAATCAAACACATTCCCCTGAAGAACTCTGGACAGACTTGCCATGATTGGTCAGTGGTTCAGAATTTTCTGGATTAAGATTGGATGACATCCGCGAAGGCCCGCCTAATGAACGTTGTTCTCTGTTTTTATAATCAAGCGATCCGTTGTGGTGTCTATCGCCTTTTATCAACCGTATCAGATTTTCTCTGCGTCAAAGGTGCTAAACCTTTTTTCTGTACTAGTCATTTCCCATATCCTGCATTTTTAATACCAATACGCACATGAATCGCCTTTTTTGTTTTCCACATGCAACTTTGATCACATAAATACTTGCAGAGTATCTGAATTTTATATTTCACAATCGAAACCAGTGGCAGAGCACCGCTGCATAACACACTGTCGCCATTGGTTTGCCGAAGCCTCACGCAGTGCGATCTTAACACAAGTAGGCTACCTTCAGTTTAATTAAAAACTACGTAAAACACGACGAATTTTTAATTCTGAGCCAAGCGCTTGTTTTGTTAGAAAATCCATCCAAGGTTCATCGTTCATTCGGTTGCCAGTGGCCATCGGATTTGCCGATATGAGAATTTTGACCTGAGCGTGTCATTACGAAGCCCTAAGATTCAGACAAAAAACAGATATTCTCGACCAATTGCGTTTATGTGGTTGCATTGATTTTTACCAAATAATAACCTTAATCACCCATCATAACTTTGTAGGGCTGCGTATTGACGCGAGTGTGTTATTCTAACAGCATACATATTTCCAACTGGCTTTGGTAGTGAACCTCATATTATTCTAATTTGTATATCCCAACGAGCCAGAGGAGCCACGTCATCCGCTTTGTTTGCAATATTTATGCTCTTAATTGCAGCGGCCTGTCAGTACACAACACACTGCAATTTTCACCATCCAACAGATTTTTTTAATTTCATCTTAAATTTCAACAAATTCATAAACAGTTGCCATTGATGATTAAAAACGACAATAAATAATAGCAATAATACAATGACAATGTTTTTTCCAAACCCGTATGCTGGTACAGTGAGAGAACCGTAACTCACTGGACTGAAAATAAACCATAATATAATAAAAAGAATACTTTTCAGTACGGTATCACGGCAAGCAACCAGTTTTATACTTTTTTTTTCAACATGTGCATATACAACAACACCAATAGCATAATAACAATAATAATATTAATAATAATTGTAATTATATGATTTAGCAGAAGCAACAGAGTATACAATCATTGCGTGCTTTAAAAGTGAAAACATTCTAGCACTTCCTCTTCATCCAATTTCACAAAAGTGATCACATTCTGCCACTCTGCTTTTCATTCCTTTTTCCAAAATTAAGATCGAGCAGAATATTTTTTAAGGAACTGCTATGAACAAAATGCATCATTGTCTTTGTATTTTACAGTTCATGGAGAAACTACTATGGCTACAAACGTGAAATGTGCAGTGACATCACATTAATGGGATTTTGGCACGTGTTACGTATGCATTTAAGCCCCGATATTTAATCAAAATATTTACATTCATTAGTTCCTGCGTTCGTGTGGCAACCTTCCTGCCTGTCTGTGCCTTTCGCAAAATCTAGCTGTACTGCTGCATCCATGTTCTTCCTCCCCGCTTTTTGTCAGTTTCATCCCCCTCTCTCTAAGGCACCAGTCCTAATTATAGATTGAAAGTCTGACACTGAAAACAACAGTGCTGGGAGATTGTTATGTACAGGACAGCAAGAAACATGATGCTCAGGGGCAAAGAGACCGTAAGATACACATTCATATGATGAGACAGATGGAGCACAGACTGAGGGTTGGGGAGGTACATGGAGTAGGGCAGAGACAGGGAGGCGGGGCGATGAATGTGACGAAGGTAGCGGGCGTGAAGAGATCAAAAGTGCTCCCCTCTCTTTTTCATTCAGGCTTCACTCCTCCAGCTCGCTCCAGTCATTTCTGTGTTTTATGTTTTCAGATGGATACTTCGTACTCGCGTGTGTCCTGGAGAAACCAAAAAGAAAAGGGTGAGCAGAACGAACACGGGGGTTGCGCCCACTGCTGGTGGGATGGGGGGGGGGGGGGGGGGAGCACGCTACGGCAGGGGTGGTGGGGTGACCAAAATGAATGCGGGTTCCCCAACAGGAGCGTGTCTTACCCCAGCCTCATACAGAGGGTTGTTAAAGTCCGACTCCACTGTGATGGGGCTGTAGGAGTGGGTGTGTGAGAGAGACTTCCAAAACAGCGGTTTCCACTGGAACCTACACATGCTGAGGACACAGTGATGGGACGTAAATACGACATTCGTGCTGAAAAGGTGTCAGACAAGGAGCATCTCAGGCCTGCAGGACTTCAACTTACTTGGTGTAATACATGTATATTCCGCCAATCAGGAAGATGACCAAGATGATTGGCAGGAAGATCGCCAAGGCAATGTTCTCACCATCCATCTGGTGTGATGGGTCAGTGGTCCTGGATACTACAGCAGAATACCGTGTTTATTGTTCATATTTCTAAGTAATAATAGTGGAAGTACTTTTTGCAGGGAGATTTTGGGACATGAATGCAGCTTAATTTATTATGTTTTATTAATCTGCAGCAACATGTAGACAGAGATCATTACCTTCAAGCTTGTGGTCATCCAAAAGCTCCTCATAAGCCACTATAAAAAAAGACAGACAAAGAGGTCCATGTCAACACACCCAGCAAACACTGTAATGAGTGGAAACTCTATGGGTGCAGATCATCTCAGTGACGTCCTGCTTACCTTTGCAGAAAGGTGGCGGGCTGCTCCACTGTGACGGGTGACCAGGGATGCAACTGATGGTGACCTCACCAATCAGCTCATAGCCTTCATAGCAGAAGAAGCGCAGTGACTCCCCCGCCTGGTAGCTGTGCTTGTACAGAGTCTGGTAGCCGTTATCGGGCACGCCTGGGTTTGGACACGGGTCGTACTTCACTACAGCGTGGGGGACAGAGATGGAGAGAATGGAAGGGAGAGCAGGTCAGAGGACCACACAACTCCCTGGGGGCCCAAGATGGAGGCATTACATCACCCTGACCGAGGCACATCTACAGACTGAGACGCAGAGCAAACAGGGCACAATGGCAGGTGTAACGGCCTAACCTTGTACCCAACCCCTACTTACAGACACACTTTGGGCTTCTGTCGCTCCACTTGGGGGTCCCAGTGTCACGACCGTGGCACGAGATCTGAACAGGGCCCTCCAGCTGGTAGCCTTGATTACATGAGAAGCGCACTACCGTCCCGACGGCAAAGCCAGGCTCGGGGCGTACGGAGCGTGCCCCATTCACTATCTCCCCTGGATCTGAGCATTGCTGAGCTGTGTGTGTGGGGAGGGGGCAGTGAATCAGCCAATCACAATACACCTCCATGTAAAGCAGAAGTATCAGGTACATACATACTCAAGACAGAAGGACAACTCTTTATTTCTGCTGCTACCACAGTTTTATCAGCTAAAGTCCTGTACAGGGGATCCATCACGGGGTGTTTTAATGTACAACCTCAGTAGCTTACCTTTCTGACAGGTGGGCGGGCTGTTACTCCAGGAGAGATCCCATTGGCAGGTGATTATGTCAGAACCAATTATGTCATACCCAGGCTGACACTGATAGGTCAGCACACTGCCCCTCACCATAGATGGGTGGGAGAAGCTTCTCCACCCAAATTCAATCGGAGGGAGGACAGGACATGTGTCATTACGCTCCACCTCTAATTGACAGAAATGATACAAGATTATTGTGATACCACGTTCCTGTTTATGGGTGTATTATGGGTAGATTTCACACTGGCTGTCACTGGTTTTCAGCACTTACCTCGATAGTGAATGAGGAATCCTTGGCTGAGGATGAAGGTGGAATCGTCAGGGTCACTCTGGAACTGAACCATGACATCTGACCCCCCTGACATAACTTGAAAACGCTCCCGTGATCCCAGGTACTGGCCAATCACATGCGAGGTGAGGTCATGACCATCAAATATAGTGAGGACATCATTGTGGCGAATATTTAAGCTTGAAGGGGAACAGAAAGCGTTTCATGAACATTATTATATAATATTATATAATGCACAGTAAAAGGGTGTTTATCTAGAATTTTCCATCAGTGTTACCAGATGATAAAAGTGTTTTATTCTTTCCTGACACTCACATCTGGATGTCGAGTTCAATCCGCTTGTCCTCGTTGACGTGTATTTGCCACACACAGTCCTGTCCCTTGGCGTAGCTCTGCGGCCAATCAGGAGAGAGCACTGTGCCCATGGGCTCTGTCAGCTCCCCCCCACAGAGCGCTGAAATAAGAAAGGGATGGAGTCAGACCGGCACGTGCGTCTCAGAGGTGAGGTGGGGGGCAAGGGGTGTGAGTGGCATGGACGACGCAGGCACCTCGGCACAGCGGCTCGCTCTCGTTCCAGTGAGGGTCACTGGGGTCGACACACTCGATGACCCCCGGGCCCTGTTCCAGGGCAAACCCAGGCGAGCATGAGAAGCTAACGACTGTACCCAGCGGGAAGGTGATGTCACTGCTGCTGAAGTTACCATGGGGCAGGTAGGGTTCGTAGCAGTGCTCACCATCGAAAGCTGGGGGGCAGAAAGGAGAGTGAGGGCAAGCATCCTGGGGGGGAGGGGGGCCACAGGGCCCTAGATGCTTAAATACTGCATTTTACATTCTCCTAGCATGAATGTATTGTGTTTCTGTTACACGGTGATGCTTCTACAAGACAGGTATATTCAGGAAACATTCCCCGGAAAAACAGCCTTTTCAGATGATGGAATGGCAGCTTCAGAACGCGGGGATGGGGGGGGGGGGTCGCGGGCCTCCCCTCACCCTCGTAACGCAGAGCCAGCAGCAGCGGGATGCTGGAAGAGTCGGCGGTCAGCTCCAGGTAGAGCGCAGAGCCTTCGCTGACGATGCCACGCTCGGGGACATCGTCCAGGTCCGAGTCAAACTGCACCGGGGACAAGGAACTGTTCCCCCCACGCACAATCAGCCTGGGGGGCAAGGAGAGGTGGGTGGGGGCATAGATACTGAGCTTTAATTACACAATCAGCAGAGTGAAACACAATCTGGCCATTTTCATAATTGCATATTTTATGCCTTTAGAAGTGAAAAAAATAATGGGAAATTAAAAGTGTTTGTTTCAGTTAATCAGCAGTTACTCCATCATTAAAGCATGTTTGTACAAATCTGGGGTTTTTAGCTGGTGCCACATGGACCCCAATTTATACCATCTGTGAAACAAAAATACTGTTGTTTTTATGCTATTCAGTTGATGAAGCATTTACATGCGCGTTTACTTGAGACCTATTCATACACAAGTGAAAAATTACAGTGAGTCCTCCACTCAAAAAAACAACAAAATAATTACACGTTAAATTGCCAATAACAGCAACAAGGTGCTGAAAACATTTTAATGGAGACCCACCGATCATCGTCCTCATCCAGCGCCATCCTCTCAAAGTGGAGGTGGAGCCTATGCCCCTCTCTGGCTTCAATCAGCCAATGACAGCTCAGGTTGTTGGTGGTGCTATGGTTACTGGCAGAGGGGGGTGCAGGGGAGAGGATTCGGCCCACGGTGGCATTTCTGATCCATCCTCCGCATGATACAGCTGGGGCATGGACAGATTGGTCAATAATGTAATACTTGTGTTTTAGCATATAAAAGGTTGTGCTATTAATTTTTCAACAATATAGGTGGATTCAAAAAGAATGACTGCAGAATTTTTGAGTGCAGAGAAGGTCTATACTCTTGGAAAAGATTATAGCCACTCGGTTGAGCAAAACCATGGCAACAAAGTATCACTGGAAATGGTGAGAAACTAAGAGGAGGAAGAGAGCCACTAACCAACACACTGCGGTTCCGTAGAGCTCCAGTGAGGCCGTGTAGAGTTTAGACAGGTGGCCACTTCGTGACCTCTGACCTGGAAGCCAGGGTCACAGTGAAAGTGGGCCTGGCCTCCAGGGTGAAGATCTGTCACTGTTACACCGCCTCCCTCAGGAGAGCGAGGGAATGAACAGGACAGGAGGAAAGCTAAGAGTGTGGGGAAAAAAAGAGATTGCATTCTGTCTGATATTGCTGAATCATACTCCACAAATGCAAACAGTGCCTGGTTCTCTATACTGGACAGACATGATAGGCCTGAACTCAGCCTGTAGATGGATGTGACATAACAGGGTTACAGGTCATAAACTCCATGACCTGCTCTCCATGATGTCTTAGGTGTAAATAATACTCTAGACAAGCTAATATCTCCAATAAGGCCGATTGGGATGTGGGGTGGGGTGGGGGGGGGGGAACAGAGATGATCTTCACCTAGGCAATAACACTAATCGAATGCACATCCTGCATAAAAGGATAACAGTACCTTGATAATGCAGGCTGAAGACACCATGGTTGGTTGGCTGGAGGCTGCGGTAGTAAACTTGCACCTGGTTGGTTGAGCTGCGTATCACCTGACCCTCACTCATCAGTGTCTCATTGGCCAGGAGCTCTGGACCATCACCACCCAATCCAAGTATGGTCAGGGATTCCTCTTTGGAGAGATTCACCTTCTTGACCTTAGGGCAGAAGACAAGGGAGTCTAAGCACCTACAAAGCCCTGACTTGGCAGTACTGTGGACACCAGGCTGGTCAGGCAGGACCACTGTACCTGGATCTCCACCCCGTAGCCACGGTAGACGGTGATGGTATAGGTGCATTCCAGGGGGGCGTACACAGGAGAGGAAGAAGAGTGTATGTCTTGGGACTCCACAATTCCTTCCATCTCTGACAGACTGGCATTGCACTGCACTGAGGAAAGAAAATAAGGGCATGTAGTAGGTTGTAGGTCAAGGGTAGATCAGAGACGAGCTGAAGCTGAGGGAGGTGAGCCTGAATTACAGCACAGAAGCACACAGTAAAAGCACTCTGCCTGAGGTCACCTCTGGCCCAGATGCTACATATCTGAGAAAGGGAACAGTATGTACCAGGTGTGTGCACCGTCGTTATGGTTGTCGTGGTAATTAGAGTCGTTGTGGTTTCTTCCTCCGAGGGTGATGATGTAACAGCACTCCACGCACGGGGCTGGCCAGCTGACGACGTGGCAGCCGTGGTGAGAACTCCCGGTGACATCATGGTGGATGAGGGCCCTGATTGGTGGACAGGAGGCACAGCCTGCGTGGGATTGGTGGTTGTTCCTGGTTTTAAAGGGAAGACAATGACACACTAAGTTTAGTGGAACCAATACAAAAGACAAACAGATTATAAGTGCTAACATGCGCCTGCCTCTCACCGGCAGAACTCAGGGTTCGCCCAAGATGCTCTTTGCTGAGAAGAGCTGCATGGATAAGGTCCCCGAGTGACTGCGGCGTCGATGTTGGCTGGCGAGGAGGCCATCTCCGTGAGGGGCCAGCGCTTTCGCCAATGACATCATCCCCCGGTTCACCTGGCACAGCGGTCTGACCTGAGGATGTGGATGAGGTTAGCTGGGTTAGCCATTTAGCACGGAAACTGCGACTGCATCAGACTGAGGCATTGGAAATGAGCAAGAGGGAGCACAGAAACACAGGCTAGTTACCTGAGGACAGGTGGAGTAAGGTGACAGACAGTGTCACAGCAAGAACTGTGGACACCATGGTTTAAGGTGAGAGAGTCTGCTACCTAAGAGGGGAAAGAAGATGATGTAAGAGGGCGAGCAAGGAGACAGATGAGAGAGACACCAGGGGGGCAGTGACAGGAGACATAACCTGAAACGGGAAACAGAAAATATCACATGACCTCTTGTTGGATCCTTAACCGGTTTAGTAATTAACGTCAGGGTCCTGCCTCAGTTTCACACTTTGTATTTACATGTATTTTAAACACTGTGCGCTAGCAGCATGGCCTCCCCCTAACCCATGTTTGCCGAGTTTAACGTACGAATCACTGAAGAACTACCTTAAAACGAAAAGAATTAATGACGTTATCTAGCATCATATGTTTGGATTTTTGTACAACAAATGTTATAATAATAATAATGATTTTAAACATAATGATGATAACAACAACAATAATATTGTATTACATGACAATAATAAACCAATCACAGGAAAAGCGATGGCATTAAGACAGGAACATCAGCACACGCATGTACACAAACAGACTAACGCCGTGGCCCGAGTGCGCTAGTCCTTTTCATTAGCCTTCGTTCATCTATCCCCCGTCCGTCCGCTTTGCGTTTTCCGCTTTTTCTTGCCGATTTCTTCCCCTCGGCCACCACCAGCTCACTCCCCCTGCACCCACAGAGACCTGGCGTCTCAACATAAATATGGTGCAAAAATATGCAATGACATCCACCGGGCACCTCATCGCTCTGACGATAAAAACACCGTTTAGACACGCAGTTTCAATCACGAAATGACCGTATAAAAGGAATAGGGGATAGAGCGCTATTACGTACCTGTACGAACCGCCAACCCCCTCTCCCACTCTGCTTATAATCCGCCCGTTAAATGGATTTTCCGTCCTTTAAAGCTGGCTGTTTTTATGGCTCCTCTCCCTTTTCGGCCACCTTTGCCCCTCGGCTCCGCACTAACATGGGGGAGAGAGAGAGCACCGCGCGTAATTATGTATCCGCGCCGCCTTTGTGCCCTGGAATGTCGTCCGGTCCGCGAGCCGCCCCACCGATCACGACGCAGCTCACACCGGCAAATGCGTCCGTTCGTCCGTCGCCTGGCCGCCGCCTCTGACCATCCGTCTTTCCGTCCTGCCGTGTCTCTAGGCCCCGGAGCGCACGGCCAGGTGGGTGGAACAAGTGTAGCTTGCGGCTTCTTTTCGTATGCCTGACGCGTCCACTGTCAATATGTGCGAGCTTAGGGAATGTGTGTCTTCTGCGCAGGGAACAAGGCTCGGTGGCGCCACCCGGCGGCCGCACTGCACAGCGCCACACCGTGGAGTCTGCGAGCTGCCGCTCGGCACCAAGAGCTGTCCAATACCGCGGTGCTGAAATACATCCCTCCAGAGGTATGCTGCCAGGGGCACCGCTCGCCGGCCATCAGCGCACAGAATAACGAGAACGGATACACAGGTAAGGGATGACACGCGCGTTATTACCCCAACAACGAGGAACTTCGGGATTTTCCGTAAGCGGGGGGCTCGCACTCGGGGTACTCCGGAAACACCGAATGCGGAACAGATACGTGAGTCGCAGAGGCGCAATCCACACGCAGGCACAGAAAAGCGGAAAACAGTGGTAAGGGTAACATTTTAATCATATATGTTCATGTGTACCTACAACAAAAACATACAAAAAGGAGACCCAGCGAACGCAAAGGAAGGAAGATAAATGGCGTCGCTCCCGTTTTCAGCCCGTGTGTTCACATGATAATTTCCGTGTTTGTGTGTCTCCAACTCTCTCCATCACTCTTCCTCTCCATCACGTTTGACGAAATCGACAATTTCGATCCCTCATACGCGCATAATTTACGGAAACAAATAATGCTTTTTGCGTACTTGTTTCGAGAAACAAAATTTTGAAAAGTCAAAAGTAAATACACGTATTTAACGTAAGTCAGAAAATAAGATTTAGTGGTGTCTGTAGTTGATCCTGCCTGTTTGATCTCGAATCTGATATAATTTGGTCTTGTTTGAGGCACTTACTGTTAACCTCTGTGGAGGAATGAAACAGGTATTAAGAAACAATGACAAGTAGAAATGAAGGAAGTGATTGCAGAAGCTGTGCACCAAAGGAGATGCCCATTTCATGCTTGGTACAGAATACAGTACATTGTAGAGGATTGATACGCAGGAGTGTTTCTGTCAGTGACGGTGTACTTACGTCATGGTTCGCGCTAATCTGAGGTGACAAATCAGTTGTTTTATTTCAGTGGTAGGAGCACAAATTCTTAAATCTTTCACACTCCCTAATACGTGGGCAGGAGCAATTTTAGGATTTGGGGGGCTCAGCCTCCAGAAATACATGAAGAAATCGTTAAATGTATTTAGAATAATAATTTTTTCAGGAGGGCGAGACAAAAAATAGAGTGGCTGAAATTCCCCCAAATAGTCTCTGTGCTCCCTAAGTAAATTGTGATGATGCTTCCGTCTTTGTGCTCCCTGAGTGAATTGTAATGATCCCTCTGTCTCTGTGCTTGCTTAGTGAATTGCGGTGATCTCTCAGTCTCTGCGCTCCCTATAAGTGAATTGTAATGATCCCTCAGTCTCTGCTCCCTAAATAAATTGTGATGATCCCTCATTCTCTGTGCTTGCTAAGTGAATTGTGATGATCCCTCAATCTCTGTTCTCCCTAAGTGAAATGTGATGATCCTTCATTCTCTGTGTGCTCTGAGTGAATCCTGATGATGCCTCGGTCTCTGTGCTCTCTACGTGAATCGTGCTGATCCCTCATTCTCTGTGCGCTCTGAGTGAATCCTGAAGATGCCTCAGTCTCTGTGCGCTCTACGTGAATTGTGATGATTCTTGGCCCTGACATCCTATGTCTCTCCCCCAGCCCACCAGCTCTGCCCTCTGATCCCAGAATGCATTGGACGCTGGAGCTCCTACCTCTGCCCCCTTGCCCTGAGCTTGGGGCCCAGCCTTTTAGTGGGATACTGTGGACTCTACTGGTGCTCTTTCTCTGGTATTGCTATCGGGTGGGCTCTGACCCCCCTGTGGCAGGCAGGAGCCATCCAGGAAAACTGAAGTCCAGCTCTGTTCGCTCTAGCCGGACACCTCGATCCCCTGGGGGCACAGCTGGTGGGGCCAGGGCAGGCAGCCGAGGGGGGGTGTCTAAAGCCTCTGGGACCAGCGGCTCCCCCTGCATCACCATGGAGCTAGGAGAAGAGGAGGAAGAGGAGGATGCCGAGATGGGGCGTCGTCGTGGTTACCTCACGCCTGTGCTGAGTCACACACTCTTCCCTGCTCAAGCTGCACCTGCCAGCAAAAAGTTGTATGACGCCTTGCAGGAGTATGCCAAACGTTACAGCTGGGCAGGCATGGGGAGGATTCACAAAGGACTGAGGGACCAGGCCAGTATCTTACACCTTGAGGTTAACAAGCTAACAGCTAGTGTTTGACACGTTTGCTAAGAAGACTTCTTGATATTTATCTTGTAGTGTATTTCCTGGAGTTTAGCAGCTCGGTCTTTCTGTCTCTGTCTCTCTCATCATGCCTCTCCCCCATTTCTCTCCCTTTCCCGCAGGCCCAACTCAGCGATCGCTCATCTATCCAGAAGCCCCATCTCTTTCATCTCCCTGATGTTCCCAGCATCCCTTTCTATCCACGTGATGCCCACCGGCACGACATCGAGGTCCTAGAGGCCAACTATCCCATCATCTTTGCGGAGTTCCAGGCAGTGTATCAGCGGGGTGTGGACACCAAGCTAGGATGGACCTATGTAGGGCCAAAGGTACGAGAGTCCCGCGTGTCACATGCCTGTCTCATGTGTGCCTTCCCATGTCTCAGATTCCAGTGAAGGATGCATGTAAACATCACTGTTTAAACACTCAGGGGGAAATTGTATTTATCTGTTTACCTGTAAGGGGGTAGGAGGATGACAGTTGCACCAGCTTGTCAGGCTGTGTATTAATTCTCATTCATGAGCATTGGGCATGCAGACAATAACAGTCTTGGCCAAACATGTGCTCTAAAATAGGACAATACAGCTGTAGGGGTAATGCTTCACAGCAAGTACACATGCAGCCCTTAATAATCAGAAGAAATTAAATTATTCTGAAATACAATAGAGAACTATATACAATAAATATAAGTATTTTAACACTGTCTTTTCTCCTTTTATCATGAGAAAAGAAAATATATACTGGCTGTCAGCGTGCTGACCAACTGAGGACCGACTGCCACTCAAACCAAAAAAAAAAAACGAACAGGGGTGCAGCATATTGACTCAGCAATAAAATATAACAAAATAAATTAAAAAGTACAACACACTACGCACTCCTTCAACCAAACATAAACAGAAATTTACATCCCTTGTTCTATAGATACAGCGACTAAATGCAGACGCCATTCTTTCCCCCTCTTGTGTCACATGGACTGCTCCAAATAATGCCATCCAAGCGCGGAGAGCAGTACACAGTGATGGGATTCAGTCCATCCTGTTACATATCCGAATGCTGAACGCGGTTCGCTGTAACCCCCCCTTCGCAGGGGCAGGCTGTGTTCCCGCTGTACAACGCCGGTGTCTGTGTGGTGAGGAACTGCCGCTCCTGCCCCTACAGCTACCGCACCCTCCTCTCCCTCCGCACCTTCATCGGCAGCAACTCGCTGGGCGCTGCTGGCTTCTGGATCCTGCGACCTGGTGCCGTGCTGGGGGGGGGCTACGGGCCCACCAACACTCGGCTGCGTTGCCATCTGGGTGAGAGAGTGGGGGGGCGTTCTCACATGATAGGACGGGGTGTGAATGCAGGCGTCCACAGGGCTGTAGTGATACAGACAGTCGGTGACGTAAAAAATCTGTGGAAAGTAAAACCTCAGCATTCTCCAACCCCCCCCCCCCACCCCCAGGGCTGCAGACTCCTCCACAGTGTGAGTTAGTGGTCGGGGGGGAGCCTCAGTGCTGGTCAGAGGGACACTGCCTCCTGGTGGACGACTCTTTCCTGCACACAGTGTCACACAATGGTGAGTCACACAGGTTTCCCATAATGCTTTGCGGCTCTGGCGCCACTCCGCAGCCTTTCGTTTCTGTTTTTATCATATTTTTATTTGAGTTTGTTCAGATCGGTCACGATTAACCATGATATGTCACAGAGCATGGCAGTGTAAAAATTCAAAGTAAAATAAATCAACTGCAAGATAAACACAGATTTTTAAAAATAGAATCAATGTAACCAAATGCACCAGAACCTCACAATTTTGCTGTGAAGGTTGAGTGTCATCATAACAGTGGGACTGGTTTTTAATACTGAGGATATGTTAATTTTATTTGCACGTTGCACATGTGTAGCTCAAGTCCATTATCTTGTGCCTCCTGATATCTCCAACTGCAGGTGGAGCAGAAGATGGACCAAGAGTGATATTCAGTGTGGACCTGTGGCATCCAAACATTGCTGCAGCTGAAAGACAAGCCTTGGACTACATATTCTCACCTGAGAAATAAACTACAACTCCCAGAGTGCTCTGTTTTTACTGCCCATTCCTTATTAAGAGGAAGAGGTATTTTGTGATATACTGTGCTGTTACACAAACATTGTAACCTTTGGGGCAGACAAAAGCCTGCTGTCTAAGGTGTTCTGGACTTTGAGATTCTCGGGGTTTGCAAAGTTTTACTTCAGAATCTGTCTGATATATCGCTGTACAAGACACTATGGACTCTGAATATAGCACCTCCTTAAAACTGTGAAGTAGAATAAGGTGCATTCCTACCTGAGTGAACACATTGTCTGCACCTTTCCTCCTGGTTTTGTGCCTGAACAGTTTTGATGTAAGTAATTCTGAAATACTGTGACATATTCCTGAGTGCTTGTCTAAATCTGTATTCAAAACACGTCTGCTTTATGTGGTTACATAAATTGTGTAAAGATGTATTTTAACACATATCTTTGAAACATATATTCACACTGAGAATATAAAATGTGTCCACTAATGCATGTATAGATGTGATGGAATGTTAATACATTGTTGATAAAAAAAAACAAGATATTTTTGTGTGTCAAATTTTTGGCTCCAATTTCTATGAATAATGGCAGATGGCCATTTAGAAAGCGACTATCCAAGAAGAAGTGACAGCAGCAGCGCTCTGCACAGAAGCAGCCAGTGGAACGCCGTAATCAGGTCCTTCCTGCAATCCCACAAGCCAGAGTATAGTTACTCCCCTCTGGTGTAGTCATGTGCCCCTACTGGTCAGGGCCCTGCAGACACCAATGAACCATAGCTGCTGACTGAGCTCCTCCATCCCACTGCCACTACTGGCCTTCCCACCATGCCAAGCATACCTGTTCATGCCCACGTCTTTCTCCCTCTCTGCCTCATTGCTACTTACTAACAGCTATATATTTGCCCCCCCCCCACCATTTTTTTACAGCCTGTGCTCAGAGTTAATAATCAGCGACAACTGGTTTGCCTTCCCGAAATGTCTAATAATAACATCGCACAACGTGGTCCAATCCTCATGTTCTGTGGGACTGTTTGCTTTCAACAACAGCCATGTTTACATAACTTCTATCATTTTGGATATAACCCAACCCTTTATTACGCCAGTACAAAGATACATAAAGAAGACAAATCTTATGACTAATATCTCATGACTTGCATTGCAGTGCCTCTCTCACTGTGCTATCACTGTCTAATAACTTGTGTTGTAGTAACTCAAAGTCAATGCCTTGACTTTGCAGTGCTTCTCTCAGTCTTATGACTAATGTCTTATAACTTGCGTTGCAGTGACTCTGTGTTATAACATTTTGACTTGTATTTCAGCGCCTCTCTCACTGTCTTGACTTGTGTCGCAGTGCCTATCATTCTTATAACTAATGTCTTATAACTTGCATTGCAGTTCCTCTGTCTTATGACTGTTATAACTAGCATTGACTCTGTCTTTTGACTGTCTTGTGACTTAAGTTGCAGTGCCTGTAACATTCTTGACTTGTGTCTGACTTGCATTGCAGTGCCTCTCACTGTCTTATGACTCGTGTTGCAGTGCCTCTTATTCGTATGAGTAGTGTCTTATGACTAGCATTGTAGTGACTTCGTCTTTTGCCTGTCTTATGACTTATGTTGCAGTGCCTCTCTCAGTACAACTTAGTGGCTCTGCCTTTGTATCCAAAACGAAAAGTTTTAAGATTTTACCAAAGGACTCCAAAAATTTTGGAAGGAAACAATTTGTACAATATGCACTGTCACCAGCCACACACTCATCTGTGACACCGCTGTGTCACTCTTGTTTTATTTGTATGTGGTGTTAAATAAAGCAAGTAAGTAAACTTTGCAAACAAAGTTTAACTGAGCGCATGTAGGACATATGCAGGGTACATAATCCTTATGCATTTCAAAGTTCCTACATAATCCAGAAATATGTAGAAAATCACTGTAACTGTGTGAAATGCACTTTTCCACAGCACTGGCTACGAGGCCGCGATTCACCAGCACCTTGCTGGGTCTGTGCTCTGTGATAGGCTGCAGGATCCCCCCATGGTCCATGATTGGATGTATAGATACCTGAAAATGAGTGAAGATCTGGAACACCCACAACCTCAGTGCCCAGGAATCTACACAGAGTTGTTTATGTAATAGACATTTTATTCAGAAATGCTCATTTAAAACGCTGACCATTGTGCCCTGTAGCACATAGATTATATCAAGTGGCCGATTCAGCTGCCATCGACGTATTACTGACATGCACCTTTCACCCACCTGCCCCACTGGCCCGCTGCCTTACCGTAACTAATGGTGCAAAATGGAACAAAAATAACATAAAATGAAAGTTCAGTTGTATTTATTCAGGGTCCTTGGCTAAAAACCAAAGAACCTGGAAAAGTCCCAACACAAACAGAGCCAGGGAGAGCTGGGATCCAGGCCTCTCCACATCACCCTCACGTCGTAACCCAGAGTGAGAAGCAGCCTCACAGGCCGGCTGAATGTGCCAGGAATGTGTGGGAGGTTCCTACTGGTCGTCTTAAAAATCGCTGACTTTCGTAGCAGCATTTAGCAAACAAGCACTTTTCGATCATTCAGAGTGACAAATGCCTCTCTGGGGCCATGTGTGAGTACGGGCTAAGTGGGCAAAAAAAACATGTAAATGGACAGAGAAATACGAAGATACATGAAAAAGGATATTCAAATCCTGAAGAAGGCGTGACAGCTTCCTGTGTGAAAGGACTTGGTGATGTGGCACATTCTGATTGGCCGCAGAACGAAGCGCATTGTGTGGGACTCTGAGGTAAAAATAAAGACTGAGCAAACAGTCCCATAATCCCACCCCCTTCTTCATTTTCTAATCTTCACCTGCTTTCATCCCTCTAACCGGTCCCTGGTTACGCATCTGAATAGGAGATGGGGTTTAAAAAAAAAACACACAAGATTATCAAAGATCTGATGCACCATCGAAATAATTAAAGCCAAAAATGATGTCATTTAATTTCATGCAGTACTATCAATTAATTTGACTAAACCAAAAAACATGCATTAAATGACTGTGGTGGGTGTAAACTATTGATATTACATTATGGGCTGCAGTAACCAAACGAAACACAAGAAGCACACAAGAGAGGGGAGTTTGAATGTGCACCTGGTCTAGCTCTCGCTGCGTCTCCTCCTCCATCCTCCTGATGTCCTCCATAGACAGGTCCACCCAGCGATCCAGCCAGCAGAAAAGCTGACGGTGAAAATTGGTGAAGAGCCTCTTCTCCTGCTGCTTGGTGACAGTGTGGGGGGGGGAGAAACAGGCCATCACTGGAATGAATGTCGCAGCCTCAGCCTGTACTGCTCCACCGTGTGCTTTACCTTGTGAATGAATTTCTCCACCCTGCCCTGCAGCCCCCACCAGCGGAAGTGAACGGTCACCAGCTTGTAGGCGGTCATGAAGGGGCAGTTACTTCCATGCAGCTCTGTCTGCACAGGACAGCACAGAGAGGGTGTCTATCCATGCATGATCTCATCTGACCACATAAAAGCCTCAGCTGGACACAAGAGAGGAAAACACACTGATGGCAATAAAGGAGGTTGGGAGGTCTGGTCCCACACGGACCTGGGGCACAATGGTTGGAGAGGGTATCACCATACCTTCCAGCCTGGACCCAAGGGACCCCTGCCAGTTTTCTCTGAGTGGAAGATGGCTGGATCCTCATCAGCCTTGTAGTCCTGGTTCAGAAACAATGCACAGAACAGGTCAGAGCTCTGTGCTGATCCCAGTTCAGGACACAGTGGGTAACGAGAATCGGCTGATCTGCACTCATCGAACCCACCAGGTCATCCACCTGCGAGCGGTCCGCGATGTCGATAGGCACCACCTCCGTGTCTTCCCACTCCTCTGGAGTCAAGCCGTGAGGCTTCGGGGACACAGTGAGAGGAGGACGGTGTCAGAGAAGGGCGCTGGGGAGCAGCCAGACAAGCGAGCGACTTGCACACTCACGTTGTCCGTGGTTCCCATGTCCGCCTTGTGCCAGGTCTCGATCTTAATGAAGAAGTCGTCTTTCATGTATTCGTTCTGCAAATATCAGGGTATTACAATGGGCAAGATGGACATTATAAGCACCTTCTCTGACAGAGGCAGCTGTACATGTTACTAAATCACATAAGGATACTTACAGTCACAACTGCATCCCACAGTTTTAAGGCAGGCGGGGGGGGGGGAAAGGGAAAATGTATCAGCATTTTAGTTAATGAGGCAGCGGATGGCAGACTGGGACTGGAGGCTGGCAGGGTGTGTACTGACTGGTGCGGCAGTATGGGTATGCGTTCCAAGCCTTTTCGTGGAAGATCAAGGCTCCCTCAGGGGCAAACATCTGGATGAAACTGGGCACCTTACTGCATGAAAGCGAGACGGAAATCCGTAAATACAGACACTAATTTTGCGTATCTAAATTTTACATTCAAGGTAGCTGCGATCAAAGCGGCTATAAGTTCAGTCACCCTGTGGTTGTTAACTGTCTGTTTGCAGCTGGATGCAGGGGCAGACCTGTGGATGTGGTAGATCTTGTGCGTGTACTGGCCCTTCTCCCCGTCCTTTTCATACGGCTCGTTGCGCAGGACCTCGATGCCTTCCCCTCCACCGGTGTTGTTCTTGCTGGCTTCGGCCACAGAGTACAACTGGCCGACCTGATACTGGGGGAAACGGAACAACCGCATGCTCCAGTGAACGGCCTCTAATTAACGGAGTGAGGTTAAAAAAGGGAGATGATAATGGCGATGCACGGCAATGCGCCCGCTTACCTCTTCTACAGAACATGGCAGGAGCACTTGGCTGAAAAAGACAGAAATTCAAACAGGCGATTTCGACATTATTGTTATTATCATCACTAATAACAATGACTGGTGGTTTCTGATGGTGACAGTATTTATTCCGGATTTTGCACTACGGTTTCGCACAGATCGATAGCCAGTCGGACATTAGAAACAGATGAATATAAAGCGGCTGACGCGGCGGCCCACAGGGGTATTAAGCCGTTTACCGGCCGGCCGGATCGCGGCATCGGCGCCGCACCGACACCCAGCGTCACCCCGAGGCTTAACACCGTAAATACCGCGCAAGCTGCGGCGGCGCCGTTAAGTACGGGGCTCTACTCACTATTCCTTAATGAGCACCATGTCGGACCGGGCAGCTCCAGCGCCGAGATTCGCTCGCCGGAAACACGGAACGTGCGCCCTCCCCCAGCGTCACGGAGCGGCGAGCGAGGGGAGGGACGGGGGCCGCAGGACCCGGCGGTGTGGGGCAGGAGGGGGTGGCCGGACCCGGCGCTGCACGCTGAAAGTGCTCCGTAAGACCGGCCTCTGCGCTACACACTGACCGGCCGCGTCCCATCACAGCGGTGGAACTCGGAAAATTACCGAGGGAGCCGCTCTCTTGCACCTCAGCCGTGTTATCACCGCCACGATTGGCTGCATTTTCCTCCGTAATTAATGAAATTCTATCATACCGGTAATTAAACTACATCTACAACAGCCAAACCTATCTAGAATTACCTAAAGTGATGTGCTTTGATTCAGGGTCCGTAAATTTTAATGAACCCTTACGTAATGTGATTAAATGCAATTTGGAAGGAAACCAGAACATTAACACTGACATGCCAGGTACTATAAATAATTTATTATGATCATTTTACAATAATGTCCAGGATCAGTTTCCTTATTTATTTTTAACACTATACAGTCAGACATTTCTGAGACAGAGACACTGTACACAATGCTTCGATTCTATACATATTTACAGACATTTTCCCCCAAAACGCATAGCACACAAACTTGTCACACCATCAGAATGTACTTCATACACATCAGCTGAACCTGACAAAAGTATTTACAGTCTCAACAGACACACCAGCCATTTCACATGCTCTCCCTCTACATCTACATACTATTCTTGCTTTCACATTATTCAACCTGTGGGAAAAAATACAAATGCAGAATTTATTGTGCAAACTAGCTTAGAAACACAAAGAGAGTATTTATTAATGTAATCTGCAATTCAAGAATCCTGCAATAAACCATGTATTCTACTAAACCACAGAATCTGAAGGGTCTAATTTCTCTTTGAACACAAATACATAATACACACATACATACCAGTCCAAGTTACACGGGGGGGGGGGGGGCATTTAAAAACACACATTTACACACACTGTGCTGTATCTGTAAGTCCTTTGGGAGTGATGGGGCACCGTCTCACTCCCACCCATTATCCTTGATCATGTGCGACACCTCGATGATGAACTTCCCCTCCTTGTACTTCTGGCTGAGTTCAAAAGCTTGTTCCTGCAAAGACGAGGGAACAGGACCAGAGTCAAGCCGAGGGGGGGGGGGGGGGGCTGACAGCACATCTCCCACTCTCAGGCCCCAATACATCATTCCCAAAGACGTAAAGACGTTACGACGGGATCCGTTGTTTACGTTTCGTTACTGTGCCAGTCTTTGTGATGTACATGTGTCAAACAGCTCTCCTAACTACAAACCACACATCTTTGCCCTTAAGTATATGCGAGTAGTTGTAGGTCACATACAAAGACCTCATATTAAACATTTCTGTCCATCTGCAGAATACTCTTTATTTATTATTTCACAGAGTTGATATGACCACACTTTTCTAAACTAACCGACTAAAAATAAGACCAAAGTCTAAATTAACTGATTAGTAAATAAGTGTTGCACGTGGTCTAGCACAGCCTCTGGGAAGCCCAGTATCTCTTTTGTACAGAAACACGGAACTTCCTTCAAAAGGGGTCAAATATATTATTATTTTTTTCACGCTAACAAGCTCCAAACAAATTGTTCATGTCAACATGTTCATTTTCAGCTTTTTAGCGTGAAAAAAGCAATAGCACCTTAGAAACGGGGCTCTACTCACTATTCCTTAATGAGCACCTTACAGAATGACGTTTTGGGGCTTAGAGTGGTCTGGGAACTGGCAGGATACACGATCTCAGACCCTCCCCCTACAGCCAGGTGCTGGTGGAGACAAGATGGCCAACGGCACACCAGACGCCAGCGAAGATGCCAGAGACCATTAGCCGTTCGACCGTCTCAAGGAGAAGCCGCGGTGAGTTGGAGGGGGCAGCTTACGTATTTCCAGCCTAGGGTGGTGTGGCAGCTCTCGCAGTAAATGTCCGCCACCGCGTGCAGCCCTGTCAGCAGGAGGCGCTCCTCAGCCGGCCCGCAGCCCACATTCACCCTGAAATCACAGCCGGCGCAGAGGTGAAGCCAGAGCGGCAGTTGCCCAAACAGAACGGCCACTCAGAGCTGCCTTGAGAGGGCAGGGACTCACACAGAGTTGAATAAGTAGGCCCGTCCCTGGCTGCCTTGGAAAGACTAGAAGAAACAAAACAGGAATTCAGTGGTACAAGCTTCCTGTGGTCCTCGAGCAGTAAAATAAGAGAAGCCCAGTATATCGTACCTTAGAAAGCAGCTCATCGTGGCTGGCCAGGTGTGCCCGGCAATGGACACAGCTATACTTACGCTCACAGGAGTCCAGGTATGCCTGGAAAGTTTTAACCTTCGACAACTTCACCATGTCTGAAACCGATTAATATAAAATTCGCTCAGTTTTGCCATACACTTTCCAAACACTTCATATCCTGCATGGCAATATCAACCAGGACTTACATCTGGGCGGAAGTAACTGAAATAGGAGATAATACGTCATTATTTATATTACAGAAATAGAAACAAGAAAAGTCACGTTAGGCGAAGCACAGCTTTGAAACACAAGAAACCGACAATGTCGATGCTGCTTAAATCTTGAAATAGAATAAAAACGCATTTGACCTACATATCAGGCACTGTTCAGAACATAGATAACATTGACTATTTACAATACATATTAACTATATATAATAAAAATACAGAAAAATATACAAGCAGAGTTTCGCATGCAACACGAAACAAAGCACACAAATCACTGCAGACAACTATTAACCACTATCTGGCAAACACCGATGTTCACCTATAATTTGTGTTCTTACCGACAGGCCTAATGTATCGCGAACAGATGTTTAACTGCTTTAACCCGAAGGAAACGCTGATACGTCAGCTAGAGCCCAGCATGGGGTTTGGAGCTGCCGCATGGGAGGTCACGCCCACACTAAACAGGAGCCACACTAGAATTTCGGCGGTTTTATATAAACCATGAAACACATCCAGAGTAAGAATTTCATACGACTGTCGGATTCCCAGATCTGTTTCGGCCGCAGTCGTGACGAAAATAATGTGCAGTCTGTTCAAAACGCGACCTCAATTCGCAGCGCCACCAGTACCCCGAAAAAAACAAACCCAAAACATCCGCCAATCAGAGGACGGAAGCACGACGCAACGTCAGCCAGCGAATCGCCTTCGCAGGTTCGGATTGCGTGTTGAACATGTTTTTGTTTTTCGTATTGGCGCTGAGTATAGCGCCCTCTAGCAGACTGGGCATGCACTACAGGACTTAATGCCTTAAAGCGCCGTAACTACACAAACACACACACGCACATACAAACACAAACACACAAACCTTAAGTAACCAAACTAAGCAAGTCTTTCGGCATTTTTAGTTTTTTTATTGCAGTCACAGATTTTCATAAAATTGAATTTCCCCTTTTGGGGATCCAAAAAAAAAAAAGGAAAAATGTCCCCACTACATCAAAATGGCAGGTTTTATTTGATACATTCTGTACAACAAGAAAAGGCTCAGCTAGACACCCATTTGTCCACAGTTTGCAAGACTCGAATCACATTCAATGTACTATGGCATCCTCTTGCGTGCACCAAAAGATTTTTTTTTTGACATTGAAACAAGATAACAAATTTTACATAAAATACTATTATGAAAAAATACTTAGGTAACATGGCAAATGGGTCTACTGATGTCTATTGGATCCAGTGAGAGTGGTAATTATTAATTATTTATGTACTTACCTGGACATGTCTAACCCTGAACATCAACAGACTTACGTGTTACAACAAAAGAAATGACACAAAAATGGACACTGCAAAATTAATATACTTGTGCATTCCAGTGGGTTAAGGGTTTTGCTGAAATGCCTGATGAAGATATGACTATTCCGCCAAGGCCGGGGCTCAAACCGACGACCTTCACAGTTACAAAGGCTTAACCTGCTGAAAACTGGGGCTTGATGCCCCCTGGTGTTGGAAGGATGATAGTGCTTCCTTTCACTGTCAGCTAAGGATGTTCAGCTGAAATGAAAGACCGATACGCTACAGGCTGTTCTCTCCTGGCACGAGGGGGCAGGTCAGGCTCCTCCTCGCTGGCAGATTTTTCCCTAATGGCTGCAGGGTGGAGTGATCTGCGGATGAGTGCGGAGGTAATCTGTCAGGAGCGTGGGGTAATCAGTCATCACTCCTGTCGCTCCACGAGCAAAGGCTTCCTCAATGTCTGTCAGCTCATTACAGACAAAGAGGTGCACCTGAGGAGGAAAGAAAAAGTCATGGGGTCAGGGGCTCGGTGTAGCCATGCCAGGAAGACCATCACACCAGATGCATCAAAAAGGGTGCACCAGTCACTGCTGAAGAGGGAAAAGGCTATTTGTAAGGACCCACTGGCCATGTTTAAGAAAGATGGCAAACCCTAACCCTAACCCTAACCCTAACCACGCTGGAGAAAAGCCTCCAGTCAGACGTTACATCATCAGAGAGCAAGAGCATGTGTGTGGACAGGGGTAAGGGAGACTCGCAGGGTGTGGGGTCGTACCTGAATGCCTCGTTCCACCAGGTGTTTCAACAGACTTTTCCTCATCATTATCCTGGAACAAGACGGGCAATTATCTGTAGACTTGTTTTCAGTATGGCTCAGATGCCATGACACACAATGTTGGCAGTCAGAAATATGCTTAGTGTGGGGGGTGGGGGTGTGGAGCAAGCCTACCTCCTGCCCCAAGAGGCCAGTAAGAGGATCTCCCTGTCTCTCCTGGCTTCATATGAGTGTCCCACCCCCTGCCCCGTCACACATGAACAAGAACTTCAGGGAAGCCCGATCATTCCCGATTGTCCTGTGCCGCTGATTAGACCGTGGGGGTGGGAGCAGGAAGGAGGTAAATAAGATACGTGGGGCTTTGGCCATTGAGGGCCAGCAGGTCACAGTTTGATGTGAAGTCAGTATAACTGAGCTTCGACTAGAGTGAAGTGGGTTGGAGCCTTGGCAGATGGGAAAGGTCAATAATAATGAGCGGCTCCGCTCTGGTCCCCGAGCCTACCAGCAGGGGGGGGGGGGGCAATACTTACTTCTCAATCAGAAAGATGACAAATCTGTTCCTCAGAATTGGAGAATCAGGAATGTATGTCCTGCAAAGCAAATTCAGCAAGGTGGTCTAAATCTGAACAGAATTATGGAACATGTGGACATAAAACACACAAACATATCCAAAACTACTACACAGGGGACCAAGTGCATTTGCTTTAGCAAAACTTAAATGCAGAAACCTTTCGTCTTTGGCACTCTGAAAAGGTGTTTGGTAGGTTTTGGTTGTGGTTAGGTGTGTGTAGGTTGTCGTTTGGGTTAGAGTTTTGTTTAAGGTTAGATTTGTGCATATTACGGTTATGGTTAAGGTTAGGTGTGTGCAGATGAGGGTTATGGTTGGGGTTAGGTGTGTGTGGGGGCACACCTCCCTCACCGGTTGAAGACGTGGGGCAGGTAACTCTGCAGGAAGCTCTCTCCTAGTGGAATGAAGGGCAGCAGGCCGGTGTAGTACAGCAGGAGGAGCTGGAGGCCTCGCACCATGGTGAACATGTACGGCATGGAAGGGTTCTGCAGGGAGGGAGGTGGGAGGCAGCTAGAATACTGATTACCGTGATAAATGAGGTGCATATGTAAGATGTGCATCATTGCTCTTCAGACATTTTATTATAAATTGCATTAAGGATAAGGAGAAATCAGAAGAATGTGCATGTAGTTTAAACAAAACTTTCTTTTAAACAAGTGGGCATTAAAGCGGAATCCATGCAGTTTAAACACTGACCATCCCTTAAACATCCCATAAACTAGGTGCCCAAATAGCTAGTGTGTTGTCAGGTTGGAGCTACAGTCAGAAGCATCTTCCTCGCTGAATGACTGTCCTACTGAGGGTGGGAATAGAAAGTTAGGGATCACCATGCCAACACTGCAGCTCTTCCAGTGAACATTACTCAGACACAGTGGACAGTGTGGTTCTAGACAGTGACTGGAAGCTCTCACCTCTTTGAGGCATTTTTTCATGATGCCGGACTCAACGCTGGCCCACACCGTGAGGTCCTCTCTACCATACTGCTGCACAAGCGAGGATACCTGTGGTTGGGATACAGTGTTCTCACAATGTCAAGGAAACCCAGATTCACTGAGAGAATGTGGGTGACTAATGTACAGAATCAAATGGCACAAGGTCTTTAATGTATTTTAAAATGGTCAATAATGTTATCCTATTAATGGGGGAAACTCAACGTGCTACCATACCAACTTACGGTTAAAAAGTGTTATAAAAAACTTTTACATAACTTTTACAGGCATGGTGTAGGTAAAACTCAGTCAACATTCGAAACAGTTATGGGTACATATAGCATTCCCTGCTTAGCCACCCCCTGTGCATAGAACTAGGATAACCTCATTTTCATGGTTTCTTTTTTTGGCCAATCAATCTCCATATATTCACCTTCTTGATCAGTTGGTCGTTGTCTTCTTTAATCTCGATGTTGATTGGCATTTTCGGAAAACTCCGGAAGACGTCTTCCAACAGGGCAAACTTTCTGTCTGTGCCCGTGCTGAAATAGCCTGCCAGAAACGCGGTGGCTTACAAAGCGAGTTGTTCCAATATTGGCCACAAGGGGGCGAATGCTGACGAAAAACGCCGCATCATCTTCTTCTAGCTATCAGTTTTATTGATTTTTCCACATTGGTGTTAATTCACTACAGCGATTTTTCATCTCAACTATACAAATACAGTTCTGGGAATAAAATCTGCAAGTCACATAACAATCCTATTTCCTTATGCATATGCTACTAACCTTCACGAAAAGTGACCTCTAACCTTTCTTTATAGAGAGGCAGGTCCTGAAAAAAAAAACACAAGTTAATCTCTGTTAACAACTACTACTTAGAACTGCAAATTCTGTCAAGCAACTGTATGCATTATTTTTAAGCTTAGTTTGGTAAGAATGTACAGGGAACTACATTGAACTGCTGAACCTTGTTTGACGCACTAACTTCTAACCTCCAAGTTGACAGAGGAGATATTGACATCCACTCCAGTTTGTCGCAGGAGATTCTCATCATGTGATACAATCACATGACCGTCTTTGGTCATGTGACAGTCCATCTCCAGCATATGTGTTCCTGCCTCCTCAGCACTAAGACAGGGCAGGACAAAAGAGGGAAAAAAATGTGGGGCTAGACTGACTTTCCATGTCCAGTTGATGCGGAGGTGAAGGTGGTGGCTGTTTTACTCACTGTCTAAAGGCTTCCATTGTGCTCTCGATTCTCTCTCCTGAACCTGTCATGCAATGAAACATGGTAAAACACAGGACACTGATAACAAACAGTAGGAATGTGAATGAGTATGGTGCAGGGTACTACTCCAGCTCGCTGGCGACAGCCTGGGGCCCCATGCTCGGCCGTCTTACCCGCTCTGTGAGAGATATGCCTGCAGTAGAAAGCCACACGTTTTTTCTTGTGCAGGATGTGGGGGTTTTTCAGCAGGTAGAAGGAAGCAAGAGCGTAGCCCCCCAAGGCTGGGATTATGTAGTACAGGGAACTGGCCATTACTGCGTACTCTGTGGGAAATAGGCCTGTATGACTCTCTCAGTGCAGCAGCCATGATCATAAAGCTCTCAATGAAACCATCACTCTCAAGTCTATATAATGCATCTATATACAATCTATACTGATGTGCTTTAGTGATATGTAGAAACTTTCAAAGATTAGAATTTTGTGATCCATTTGGAAAGTCTACCTTCTGGACAGTATCATGTGCATGCAACTCCATCATCCAATCTGCCCTGTTCCTCTCCCCCTGCAGCCCCCTCTGCCACATCCCCCCCCCACATACACACCTCCAGCCCGACAAAACCACTCCCTCCCACCTGGATGCCTGTCAATGACTCGTCAAAGGAATGTGAGCTGGCAGAGGTGAGAGTAAGTCCACAAGGCATGAACAAACAGGCCAGAAACTACACACCCTATATCTAGGGCTCACCTGCACAGGTGATGGGAACAGTGATGCCACACCTACTTCCACTCACCTGATGGCATTTCTCTTTCACATGTATCTTTATTGGGCAATATGTAAGTAATAATTAACTATAACATACTCCATTGGGCCCTTGAACAAGGCTCTTAACCTGCAATTGCTTCATACTGGGTATGATGATAATCTACATCCAGCACTATAAGGAGGTCCTCCAACCTACAGGGAAAAACTTGGGGATTGGTGGCAGGATTGGCAGTCCAGCCACCAGAAAATATCTTGTTTGTTGTGTGGTGGGTGTGGCAATGCGCTGTAATCAGTGCATGCTTCTTACCTCTATACCTCTATAACATACTACATCCTTTCTCCCTTTTTAAAGAAAAGTAAAGAAATAAAATATGTGGGAGTGAACAAAACAAAAACAGAACTACTCCACAAACATCCCCCCACAACAAAAAAACACACAACAATACATGGACATAAATTATTGACGGTAAAAATGGACTAAGAAATAGTAAACAATGCATACATACAGAGAGACAGCAGATGAGCGTGGCATGGACCTAAGCGCAGTCTGATCCCAGGATCTATGTAGCCAATCAGTGCTGCTGCTTTGGATGGCTGCAGGCCTCCGAGTGGGCTGGAGCTGATCAGAAGCTGCCTTTATAGGAGGTGCAACCAAGGGCGGCTCCGTTGGTGTGTGTGTGGGGGGGGTGTGGTCAGGTTCCACCATAATGTTCCCACTTTACATTCTTGCTATTAGCGCTTGTAAAAGTGACAACTAGACAGAGCAACTGAAACATGAGAAATTAATGTTTAGAGAAATGCTCTTATCACAATAAGTACTGGATCACTATAAAGTATCAGTGTGAAACATAAACCCCCCCCTCCCCCCACCAGCATGTTTGCAGGAGCGGAGGGAGGTGAAGCCGCTCTGTCAGCTGCATGGGGCGTAACGGCACTCATGGATGAATGGTAATGCTGAGAGCTGCAAAAACGCTGCCATGTGGAGGGAGAGGGGCTGGGGGACGGGGGGAACAGAGCAGGGTGTTGGGGAGGGAGGACAGAACAGGACAGGGTGGACAGAACAGGACAGGGTGGATAGAGCAGGACTAGGAGGACAGAACATGATAGGATGGACAGAGCAAGATTTGGGGGACAGAGGACAGAACAGTTCCCCCGGGGAGGGGGAACAGAGCAGGATGGGGGACAGGGTGGACAGAGCAGGGGGGCAGAGCAAGACGGAGGGGACAAAGGGGAATAGTGAATGCAAGAGGCACAGAGCAGGACAGGGGAGGACAGAAGGCGAGTTCGGCCTGAATGGCCTGAACAGCAGCTGGCTAGAGAGGAGCATGTAGGTAGAGCAATGATGACTACCTCCCATCCAGGGAGGAAAACAATGACTTCACACGTCAGTAAAACCAGAAAGGGGGGTGACACCCAGGCCCCCACTCTCAATAACTGATGTTATGAAACCTCACAGAACCTGACAGGCAGCTCTCTAATCACCCAGCTGAAAGAGAAGATTGCAACTGAAGGCAAAAGCTCTGCTGGTTCAGGAAATATTTAACAACTGAGAAAAAAAAAACGTTTTCGTGTAACATTTTATTTAGTGTACTTGTACAATTCTGTTACAGCCGTACACCTCATACAGAACTACATCACTAATGCCTTTGGATCATACTGATATTCTCACATTTTAAACAAGATAAGTACAGACCGATGGGAAGAGGCTGCGCCTCAACCGCAGGTTCTGGGATGAGAGCTTGAGAGCTTGTGAGAAAGGACAGGAAGAGTAGAAGGAAGAGGAGGTCCCAGTCCCAGTCCCAGCCCCAGACCTGAGGATGACACCACTTCTGCACTTTCCCGGGCCTAAAAGGTTCCAGTTCTTTTGTGAAACGCTTGTGTTCCTGTTCAGAATCATCATGCATTTTCTCAAAACAAACTCCGTTTTAAATCTGAACACAAGCATCTGTTTTCCTCCAAGAATGAAAGTGGAAAAGAAAGTACTCAAAGGTATTGTGCAATAACCGGCAATTGTTTATAATTCTCGGAAATCTGATCGCTCCCCCCCCCCCAACAACCTGGAAAAATAGACAGGCTCTCCTGCACGAACCGACTGAGCCCCCTCTGTGAATGGACAGATTTTGTGCGGACCCTGAGTGGGGGCCATTGCTGAGAGATAGGGTGACCAGATAATCCATGTCAGGGAGGACACTCTGAGCTAGGACAGGAATTATAAATTACCATTTCAATTAAAAGGACCTGGATTTCACTTGAGAACAGAGTTCTTGCTGCGTGCTGATTGGTCAGTCTCCTATAATCATGCATGTGTCACTAATGCTAATGTGAAACAGCTGGATGAGTTTTTCAGTCAAGGAAACAAACCCCCAACCAGGAAACAACAATCAATAACGCGGAGATCAGTGCTCTGCAAAGATGGCTAGAAATGGATATTAATAAAGAATTAAAGGCTGCCAGAGAGCCTGGCCGTAATGTACACAAGTCGCTGAACAGAGAGCAGCTGAACAGGGCCACTGTTGCCACCTAGTGGACACAGAAAGATACACATCCCTCATGCTCGTGTGTGAAAGGCAGCAAGACCTTGATCCCCCAGAGTGCGCACTGGCGGTAAATATGGTGCTCACATGGGCTGGTCTTCTTGATGGCCATCCGTACCTTGTTAATAATGCCCATGGCTGAGCTGGTGGGAAGCAGGAATAGACGGTGTCAAGCTGAGAAAACGCACCTCCTTCCAAAACAGGATGCTGTACTGGCTTGGCTCTGCTGAGCCCCATTCAGGTGTCAAACCTGCATCCGTAACCACTATGCCACCTACAGATCTCATCATCTTACGTATTAAACAAAAGCAGCAGACAACAAATGTTAGGGATTTGTATGGAGCATGTTTGTGCACTGGGCCTCTGTAATGATGAAGTTTACCTTGGCACTACGGATGTTATTAGTCTATGGCTGTACATCTCTCTGATTATTTGATACGCTGTACCTATAAGTCTCTTGTAACAGTGCCATTCATATTTAAACGTCCTCTCCAACTTTAATGAGAAAAAACACATTTCTAGCAAAATACAAAATTACATCCGGCAATAACTACTGCAGAACTACATTACCCATAAGCGCACGCTATCGCTGCTCAAGCGCCCTCCCGCGTTGACATGACGTTAATGGAGGCGTAGTCTGAACAGCATCGCTCAGCTTCCTTAGTGAATGCAAACAAGCGGGGCGGCTCGTATAGTGTGTGTTGGTGGGTGATGATACGGGGCAGCGCGTCGTGGGCCGGCTCGGTTCGACTTGCTCTTTCGACACTGTTTGCCCTGCGGAGCTCTGCTTACTCGGCTGGAGGCAGGTAAGAACAACACGACCGACCCGAGCTGAACCCTTTCAACACGGGTAGCACAAACCTCTGCGTGTGTTTTTGACAAGGCGTTTAGCTGTGTTGTTTTAATCGATGCTTTGCTTGTAATTTATGACACCATTATATCTGTTAACGTTTCGGTACAGATCATCGACCCAGTTCTGAAATGTCTGGTTTGTTGATCTGTCTTAAAGACAGCGTCCCGTACGCGTAGTTCTCGTTTAACCGGTGGCGTACCTGTACCATTCTGTTCTTTCTCGCCCTTTGTTCGAATCAGCCCTGCTCTCTGGTGTGCCATCTCCCCCGGATCTCTCCGTAAGAGCCTCGTAACTACCGTCCCAAGTGACTGCGCCTGGGCGCCTACTCAGGTTTCCATGTCGTCCACCCTACACATCAAATCCAGATGCCCAGTGTATCCTGGCTCACAGACCTCCAGGTTCCCAGTGCCAGATGACAGAGTGAAGTGGAAGACCGAGTGGCCCGAGTACCGGCCGACCGTCTACACCGCCGCGGCCGTGCTAGCTCAACCGGAGTGGGCTGACCCTGACGTAGGGTGAGCACCAGGGGAACGGCTGTTATTTCACGGGGCGGCTGATGATCAGCCATAGTTTAGCCTGCTTCTCTCGCCATAGATCATTCTGTCCGCAGTTCAACATCCTGGATGGATCGGTAGAGCGCAGGAGCCACGAGGGAGAGTACAGGGTGCTGGACGGAAAGCCGCTGTAGGTGCCGTACTCCCTGCACTCATACATCCGCATAGCGCCACCATATGGCCGCCCAGTCTCAGCTCCTCTTAATTTTCCTCTGCAGAAACCCGCATGGCCGCACTGGATTGACTGGGAGAGGCTTGCTGGGACGCTGGGGTCCAAACCATGCAGCTGACCCGATAGTTACCAGGTGGAGGCGCCGTTCCCCCTAACCCTACTCTCCTTGATGGGAAAACAGTGCGCTGACCGCGATGCTCTGTGTCTGACAGGTGGAAGAAGGATGGGGGTGGCCAGCCCGTGGTGAATCCCCGCTCTGGGCTCCCGCTTCTTCAGTTTGTTTCCATCATGAGGAAGGATTGCGGGGAATGGGCTATTCCTGGGGTCAGTCTGCCTGTCCTCTGTCACTGTGCATGTGGGGATGACAGCCGCTACGAGCGTCCGCCCGCATATGACGGATAGCCTCAGGGGACTGGGCGGTGCTCTGGTCCCTGTGGTCGATGCTGACCCCGGCTGTGTGATTTGTGTGAGTGAGACTGAGCCTTGATCATAGCGCCGTGCTGATGTTTGGCTCTCTTCCAGGGGATGGTTGACCCGGGGGAGCGCGTCTCCCTCACTCTGCAGCGTGAGTTTTCAGAGGAAGCGTTGAACTCTCTGGCTGCCAGCCCCCAGCAGAGGGCGCTGCTGCGCCAGCGCATCGACAAGCTCTTCAGTTCCCCGGGCCTGCAGGTGGCGGCAGCGAGCCTCGTGTGCGCCTTCCATTGATGTTCACACACATCTGCACTTGTTACATTTCTGTTCCATCCATCACAGGTCTACAAAGGTTATGTTGATGACCCCCGAAACACAGACAATGCTTGGATGGAAACGGTGGCTGTGAACTTTCATGATGAAACAGGTCATTAGATTATATGTATATATTTTTTATAATAATGGCTGACTTTGGATTACTGTCGTAAAAAGTACAGATTTCTAAAAAAGTCCAAGAAATTTGCTGTTGTGTTTATAAAGCTACTTATTAATGCTGTATTAATGAATGACTGTCATTGTCACCTCCCAGGGGACAGTGTGAGCGAGCTACCATTACAAGCTGGGGATGACGCAGGTCAGGTGACCTGGATGGACTTTGACTCCACCCTTTCTTACTATGCCAGTCACTCCCATTTCCTGGAGATGGTTGCCAAGGAAAGACAAGCACACTGGTAACTGCCCAGACACTGTGAAAGTGACAAAGGTCAGAACCGGGGAAATGTGGCAGGTTGTGTGTGTGTCCACCTGTAAGCAGCATAACTGTAACCCTGTGTGATGGCCATGCTCGAGCTGCCCCCTACTGGCCGCTTTTTGGAATCAGGACATTTTGCTAATTGGTTAGATGTGATGAATGTCACGGCCATTTAAGCCTCACACATTCCATCATTCAAACCAGATGCAAAATTGATATTGAGATCAACATAACTGGGTATATGTGGATACATAGACAGGCGCCTGTCAAACATTTGTGTGCATGTGCATGTAGACAGTGTACGTCTTTGTTTCCATGGTTTGTAATCTGTACTGGTTAATGTGAACATTCGTCCTGCTCAAGATGGTTACCAGTCACCGGCTAAAATAATGAATAAAGGATGAATACAGACATTTTCCTGACTGTTTGTCTGGTTCACCATCTTCAGTCGTAGTAGCTTTTAACCTCCATCACTGTTAGTTGAGATGTTCCGCTATTTCATGATGGGGGAGGGGGCAATATTGTTCATAAATGGCAAGGGCAGGATAATGGATCGTCTTTAAATGGAATAGTCCTTTCCAATAAATTTAAATGTTGCCTAAGGAAGAGCCAACCTTGGGCAGTTCTGTTCACCTCCAAAATGCAGAGTTCAGCTGTTGGGAGACTGATGTAGAGAGTAATAAACACCAGCAAAGGCAGATTAGTGGGAACAGACAGCCGTTTTATTCCACAACAGAGACCTTTCTCTATATTGTGTGATCAGAGTTTTGTTTGAACATAAAAGACTCGGACGGAATCACCCATCCTCAAAAAAAATGCTTCAAAGTGCTAAGAGAACATTAATTTAATTAGTCAGAGAATCGAGAATCAGCAGCATGTTAGTGGGTAACAGGGAGCAGCCTGCTAGTCAATTGGCTGCACAGAACGTAAACAGTAAATGGCAGGACAGCGTGGTAAATTCACTCCACGGGTCACAGCGAGCAGAAGTAGTTGTGGACGGGGAAGGAGAGGGCAGCTGAGAGCGCGATGCCGAAGCTGTCCCCCACGCTGGCGGCGGCCATGGCAAACTCCCGCTCCCGGTCTCCAGTCTGGGGGGAGGGCGGTGCCATTAGAGTGAGGGTGAACACTGACGCCATGATCGATGTCATGCTGCCGGGCATCAGTGAGGGGCGGAGCTCAGAGTACCAGCCAATGGCATGTTCCTAACTCATTAGCATATGTGGGCCAGCGATCCAGCTTTCATTTTCCATAGAGAATATAAATGATGTTAGGTCATTCCACAAGTTTCACCTGCGGCTGCTCATGTGGTGCCACCGAGCCTCTGGCACCCTGGGTAACTTAAGTTTTGGGCCCAGCTCACTCATGTAACCAGCGCTGTGGGGAATTACAGCCTGCCGGTAAATGAACTCACGGGGAAAAACTGAGGAGCAGAGGTAAGGAGCACACGCTGATTACAGCACGTTGCTGCACGCACCACATGATGAACCACCTCAGGCATGAGAATCTGAGTGCAGCCGGGCAGTTGGTGATACCTCAGCACTACACTAGTCCGAATGGACCAGTGTGAGTTCTTTTTCTGAGGGCTGGAGTCCCAATCCTACCATCAACCTCGAAAGGACTTCCTTGCAGGGCTGGATGTAGAGAAACGTCATACCCAGGACAAAACAATTGCAGATTAAGGGCCCAATGGAGTAAAATCACTCCTGACATTCGAGGGATTCGAACCAGCAACCTTCCGATTGCTAGAACAGAGCCCTACTCTCAGAGCCACCATTCTGCCCACTGGGAAAGATGGCCGGCATTTTAATGCAAAACCACTCACCAGCTACATGCCTGGTTTTATAAATGTTCACTGAAGTGCCTCAAGTCAGCAATATATATATACACATACAAACACACACACCTAAGAGTCGGTGGGAAAAAGACAGTCCCCACAAGCATTTCAAACTACAGACGCAACCTTAAGTAGCTGATAAAGTAACTGATGGGGGAGGGGAAAAAGAGACTGACCTCCTTGCTGATGAAATGAAAGGTGTTGACATACGCGGCGCCCCCCAGAAGTCCTTCGTAAGCGACTATCACGAAGACGAGGATGGCATTGGACAGGATGTGGTAATAAACCGCGAAGAAGAGCAGCAAGGCGTTGATGCACTGCAAGGGAGCAGGCGGACGGGGAGATTAATGGCGTTGGGGGCACATGGGAAACGGAGTGGGAGGAGCCTACCGGTCTCACCTGCAGCACTGACATCAGCCACACCCCGCGGATCTTCACACAAAACAGGGAGGAGCGGGAGACGAACACACCGATCTGATAGACAGTCTGGTACCTGGGACAGAGATCGGCGATGTGACTAATGGACCTTTTCAGAGCATCCAGCAAACGGAGTGGGAAGGCCTACCGGTACTGACCAGCGGTACTGCTCAGCGTGGGACAGGGAAAAGCCTGGAAAGTACAGCAGTTCCAGCTGCAAGAGGAGACAGACATTTCACTGTATGTCCCCAGTCCCTCATGAGACACCATCCTGCCCGAACGGAATAACGCAGACAGCAGCTGAACGGCAAACTCACCAGGCCCTGGTTGATGAAATACTCGGCAAAATAGACGACACCCAGTGGAATGATAAACCGCAGCAGACCCTGCGGGAGACAGAGGCAGGGCTCAGTGCACCAAACCGGCAAAGCGAGACGGCACAGACATCCTCGCGGGGACTTACTCTCAAGATGGCAAGTCTGTCTTTGTAGGTCAGCGGGCCCCGGCTGTCCTCTGCTATGGGGGGAGGGGGGGTAAAGCACAGGTCACAGGATGATTCAGAGCTTTTCAAACTCCCCCCACCTCCTGAGAGCCCCACTTACCTGGTGCTTCCCCATCCCTGATCTCTTCGTTCTCCTCGCCACTCACCAGGGGGCGTCTCTCCTGGTCTGTGTTCGGCGTACGACCCTCTTCTACCACACAATGCCATTGTGGGAACGAGGCCGGAAACACCAGCAGTAAATAATAGCTGAGACAAAGATATAGGAAGGGCAGAAATCAGTACATTAGAGTGATCTTGGAAAGCTGCTCTATGCTCCCACATTCTATGTGGGTGACAAGCCTAAGATCAGCAGCTCACCTGGCAGCCATGATAATGGGGACCACCAGCATAACCAGCAGGGTTTCCCGCGGCGAGAGGCCAGCTTGAGTAAAAGCTGCGTACAGAAGTGCCCCAGCCACCCCTGCTCCGCCGGTACCGGATCCCCAGCCCCCCAGCACAAACCTGACAGGGAAGGTATGGACGGACGCGTTAGGGAGAAGCAGAGAGAATGACAATCAAGAAACTCCACACATAGGACAGAGGGGGGAATTCGAACCCCCAGTCCTACAGGTACTGAGCAACAGTGCTACCCATTGAGCTACCCTGTCTACCATCAATCAATAGACCTATTTACTAATTAAGCTTCAGAAAAACTAGAACCACTCATAATTCTTCCAATAGGCCTCATTTTGAATTAGATAGATTAAATGACGTGCAGTAACCTACCTGGGGAAGAAGACTGTGAGGGAGAGGAAAGACAGCTCTCCCAGCCCCGAGCTAATGCTAGCAAACACCACCCCTGAAGGGGACAAAGCAGGCTTACATGAGCACATGACTCTCACTACAGGTATAACTTTTAGGGCAGCGCGATAATTAGTGCACATGCGCAATAATCACATCGCATTTCACAGAAGCTTTGTGTCTATTAGCACAACTCAAGACAAGACCACCAAGTTATTTTACACACTCTATTGGTAGACAAGTTCTATTTGGCTATAATGTAGTTCGGGTAAATTCATTTCGCTCCGTTTCATAAACGTCGCAGTATTACTCGAGGATATTTCATTGCTATGTGATATCGTGGAGCGTTAATTTTACAGTTAGAGAGAGCAACAGTACCCAGAATGCTCATGGCCACACTGGAAGAGAAAGACACCAACAGGAAGCTGGCGGTTGCCGTGGCAATACACATCAACACACGGAACCTGTCGAATTAGAGATTTCAAGAAAAATATGAAGATTATGGTCAAGGCGTGACTGACTGAACAATTAGGGAAGCTAAATGGTAATAAGGAAAGCGGTTTACCCATAAGGGAGCTGGTGGATAAAGAAGGGTGCGACTGCTTTGATGAGGAGAGTGGGAAGAATGTCAGCCAGAAGTACCGCCTGAAATGAATAAATCAGACATGAAAATGGATCCCACAGTGTAGCTCCCTGGAACTTCAACGCAATGTCTTTCCAGAGTGCAGGAGTTTTACCGCAGTGGAAACAGGGTTACAGTCGTAGCTGCTGCTGCTGCTATTTCCGCGATCCAGATGATAGGAATGCGCAGCTGTCTGAAAGTCAGGCCATGAAGAAGTGGGGATTAAATCCTTTCCACCAGAATAGAGATACGTGTTTTTAACATGTACGTATGTGTCATGTATTTTAAGCAAAGCATTACATAAGAAAAACAGATCCTGAAACAGGGTTACCAACTTTGGTCAGCTGGCTGGCGTAAGATTTTCTGTTCAAGACAAGTCTGCACACACATTTACATGTATGTAACAGTCTCGTTATATTGTAAATACTCTACAGAGTTTGCAAACTACCTCAACGATTTCGATATAGCTAATTTTAGGTTTATAATGTTATAATATAGATTCTTGCGTGAGTGTCTGGAAGCGTGAGTGTCACGACAGATGCGTGAGAGTTGGCAACCCTGCTGAAATATCAGTAAGACAACGAACCCATGAGACACAGGTTGTCCTTCCCACAGCACTTCACTGTGGCTATCTCACGTAGGTACAAATATGGTCAAATGATACAGAAGACAAACCGAAATTTCCATAAAATAGCGATTTCTCTGTGCACGTGTGAAGTTCACGGAGATGCGTACAGGCTCGGTGCCGTTGGTCTCCTGCTGCTTCAGGATGTCGTGCGCCGCGCTCAGCATCACCACGTAGGCGAAGTTGTTGCACAGCCCGAGCCACCTGCACAGAAACGATGCATGTTCGTCACGAAGTAATTAAGTTAATCCCGATATGTGAACAAGCACACTTCGCTTCCATATACATATTAATACAAAAACCTCACCAAAACCCAGCTATATTTCTCCAGGATATCCAGCGACCTTTCAACGACACATAAAATTGTGAAACGTTAAAAACATAAACCTTGCCATCCATCCATGTGAGAATCGCATGACAGCAAATTAGGCACTGACATTACCCAGATGACACCCAGAGACATGTTAAACCTCACCTTCACCGTCAAAGAGCCTTTCTAATCTGTCCATGATTGAAAAGGCTTTCCTTTTCTCGCAGTGCCCTGCAGCGACAAATTAAAATCTCCGATCACCAAAACTGAATACGATATTGAGTGGAAGTCTCACGCATCGTGTTAGTACATCCCATTTCTTATCCTATTCTCCTTTAGTGTTTTTTATAAGTGAAAATTAAATAAAGTCATCCGGCTAGTAAACAGTCTCTGACTTGGGTTGGCGTATCTTCGAAATGCGTCCGACGAAAGTGCTGCACTCACAATGTTGGTTCCGCTTAATTTTGTAGCCAAAAGGTACGCGATAAAAACAGGAAATAAAACTAACAATTGTATCATTACGTCAAATAATGTCATATGCTTAACAATAATCATTCCATATATTACACACAAAGAATGTGGAACGGGGTACAATTGCCAAAGCAAACATAAGCAAGAGTACACCCTATCAATGGGTAATCCAGCAAATTCCGAGAGGTTTGAGTTCACATTTGCAGAGACAATATGCCACAAAAATAAGTATTATAAAAGGACAAAACACAGTGGATGGGGGAGAAGAATAATTTATTTTCCAGTGTACAGTATACAATGTCTTATGGTAAAATACATTCCCACAATGGATTTCTGGGCAATAGAAGAAGGCACATGCTTTAGGGAATTACATACACTGCAAGTGAAACGTCACAACTGGCAGAAAGCACGTCCACACCCTGGACGCATTTACAGACAGGACGCATGGAAGTGGCTATCTCAAAAAATACATAATGTGAAACATTTGACCCTTTCCCGCTAAACAGGAAGAAGAGGCTATAGTGACTCCACACTTGGATGAAACAGGAAGTGGGAATGGGGTGGCAGGCTTTGGAAAAGGAGTCACTTAATTGAGTCAAGGAGGAGTGTGGCGGCTGGACTCGGACGTGGAATGTTCCGGGTTCAGTAGGCGTGGTTGGCCACAAACAAGGACTCTCCTGCTGCGGCACTTTTGTCCCCAGAGGTCTCATACTTCCCGAGGGCAGCCTGGTTGTTACTCTGTGAAACACAAAAAGGTGGGTGAGGACAATGAGAAGGACGCAGGTGAGCCAATCTGTCAGCTGACAGATGTCATGTGACCCTGGACACCCATGCCTGAGTGTGACATACCAGGGCCCTCTTAATGTACTCCTCCTGGCAAGCCTTGCCGTTCTCCTTCTTGCCCCCCCAGGCCTTGAGGGCAGAGGCCTGCAGAGCACGGCCGTACGAGAAGGTGAGAGCCCAGGGCTTGCGCAGGGGACACTGGTTGATGGCATTCAGGTTAATGGAAGCCTCCTCCTCACTCTGACCTCCAGACAGGAAGGTGATACCTGGAACAGGAAAGAGGCATGAAACCAGTTCAGTCTGCTGCAGTTCTGATCCTTCTGTCTTTTACACATTGTGTGTGTGTGTGTGTCAATGTATGAAGGCACAGCCTGTGTGTGACTCTCACCAGGAACTGCAGGGGGTACTGTGCGCCGCAGGGCGGTGACGGTTGCCATGGCAATCTCCTGAGAGGTGAACTTGTGAGAGCAGGAGTGTCCGGCCGTCACCATGTTGGGCTTCAGCAGGGTGCCCTCCAAGTAGACGTGGTGGTCAGACAGGGCCTTGTAGACCGCAGCCAGGACCTTCTCCGTCACGTACTGGCAACGCTTCAGGTCATGGTCGCCGTCAGGCAAGATCTCGGGCTCCACGATCGGCACGATGCCATGCTGAGGAGGGAATCGAAGCAACGGTCACAAGATCTGGGCACATCAGACTCAGACACAGAACGGTGCATATGTTAACGGATGGCTCTACTAGTTTATGATGTTTGGACTGTCTTTCCACTGCCCTTGGCATGGAAGACCAGTAGGGGGCAATGTCTGCTGTCTATGTCCTTCTCAAGTGAGTCTCTGGGCTGAAATAGCAGCTGGGCCACCAGTCAAGGCTTTATGCTTTCTGCTGTTTTTTTAATTTCTTACTCAATTCTACATTAATTTCAGTCGGGTTCTGCCTGGTTGCCACCCATGTATGACTCACCATCTGGCAGATGCTGGCGTATCTGGCCAAGACGTTGGCATTCTCCATGATGGCCAGGCTGGACGGTGTGGTGGGGGTGATCTTCAGCACGCAGCGCCACTTGGCGAAGTCGGCGCCATCCTTCTTGTACTGAGCGCAACGCTCATAGAGCCCGTCCAGGCCTAGGAGAAGCCGAGATGTTACCATCACCACATTTCGTATGACGGCTGCATGGCTTCGCATGCATGACTAAGCAGAGATGGAACAGTTACGTAAGCAGAGAGGAAGTGTGGACATGCAGACGGTCCGTCTCACCCTGGGTGGTGGTCTCGCCGTTGGTGCCTGCCAGGGGGACCACGCCCTTGTCCACTTTGATCCCCACCACCATGCCCTTCTCTTTGATGAGCTGGGGGAACAGCTTGCCACTGTCATCTTTCTGGTACAGCGTCTCGTGGAAGAAGATGACCCCACCGATGCAGGGGTTGACGCGTTCGTCGGCGGTGAACAGCAGCTGGCGGTATAGCCTCCGGTTCTCCTCCGTGTTCTCGGCGTTGATGCTCTGGAAGCGCTTGGCAACGCTGCCTGTAGGGGGCACATCATCAATGGTATCTCTACTTGAAATGTGACAAGGATACTGGGGGGGTGGAGTGCTTAAACACGTCTGACTGCTGAATTGAGCACGGCCAGAGGGGGGCGGTGCTGCTGGAAGCTGCTCCATCAAAATATCCATTTGACTGGAAATCAAACTCTAAATCACTTAGAGGAAAATGCAAAGACTAAGCAGTGAAATAAAGAACCTAATCTGCTGCCACATCCTGAGTCAGTGTCTTTCCTTGTGGGAAAATAAGGTTTCAAATCAGGAAAGACTGCCTGCCATCCAAGTTACTCTTAAAAAGATTTCACGTTAATTTTTTTATTTGCATTCGTTCTGTTATGGCATCATTAATGGACGGATCCAGGACCAGTGTTAATCGCCTGCTTACCCGTGGATTCATCAGCGGCGAGAATGCCCTTCCCAGGGGCCACGATCCTCTGGGCAATGTCACTGAGCTCCTTCTTCTGCTCAGTGCTCAGGAAGGGGTAGGCGTGCGGCATGGTGACCCTGAGGGTGGGAATGATGCCCCGTTAGCGCCTGGTCGACCGCACAGCGGGCAAGATTATTGTATGACTTCGTGAATGACACGAACTTTTACATACCGAAACAGGTGATTAATGTGGGACAGTCCCGATTTCTTTCGGCTTAAACGTATTAAATCTTTTAAAGAGGCGGTATAGGTATTATTTTCTTCCTAAGTGTACAATACTGAATTACATTTCGCTGCAAATATTCATATTGTATGTTAAAGTTATATTAAAATGTGAATTTTCTTAATTATTTTTTTTTGTGTTGATAACGAACATTATCTAATTCCATGGATGTGGAAAACATATATTTGGTCTTACGTGTATTAATGTTTTTGCTATATGTCTTTACTATATATATATATATATTTATACATATGGATGTTTTTTTAAAATAAATACGCCTCTGCCCTTGGCATTGCATCAGTATGACCTTGTTATCCTGTTCCGGTAGTTGAAGCTTGAAACCGTTAGTTAAAAGACGTGGAAAAACAGTAACACTTCTCAGCGAACTGAGATGCTTTTACCTAAGATGCCGCCCTTTAGAAAGAAAAACAGTTATGCGTACGAAAAGATGCCGAGACTCACCAATAAACTCGCTGCTCAAAGAGGAAACGTCGATGTAGCGTCCCGAAGAGAACAGAGGAAGTGAAATGTAATCGCTTTAAGACCGATATGGAAGAAACTCACATGGTCCCAAAGAGAGACGGACGGGAAGTAGGGAGGGCGCTTGTCACCATCTTTAAGATTTTATTGGTCAGTTAAAATGCGATTTAGGTGGATTGTTCAATCGCAGAGCAAACGCACGATGATGGACGTGAGGTCTACGATTGACAAGGCAAACGCAGAGGGGTGGGTTAGATTGCGCAAGGGGCGGGGCGAGCAGGGGGGGCGTACATTACATACGGAATGAGGAGTACGTGATTCTCCGCACACTTTCGGTACGTGCATGGTATGGTTAAGCGGATGACGGTATAGTTTTTTTTTTTTTACATTTTCCATTTGCAAAACGTGACAGGGACGTGTTATAATGGTATTTTACAGCAAAAACTATCTGTTACACTTCAGTGTGACCAATTACACCAAAACAAATTCGGATTGTACATGGCGAATATATCAGATTCTGATAATGATTATAATGACAATTTTAAAAAAGAGCCAATATGGGCTATCGCTGCCAACACTAATATGTGATCCACAAACTGGTTGTGATGGGTGTGTGTAAAAATGGGAATAAAACTTGTGACAACACTTGACGGAGCACAGAAACTTACTCAGAGATAAAAGATGCGTCACGATTCATTAATGTCGAACAAACATGAGATCAGATATTTACTTGTGTTATTCGTCACTTGTTCCTTCAGTAGTTACTTCCGTAGTTCACGAAGGTTTACAGAATGAACAGATATAATTATAATTATATTAAATGAGATAAAACGTCACGATTATTTAATGATGGATTAACGTGACAGCAGTATGTAACTAAAACTTAGTTTGTGCTTAATTAATACACAAGTAATAATATAATACTACATTATTTGTGCCCTGCCAAGCAAAGTGTTACCAAACTTGCAATAGAGATTATTGGAAATTATGCAAAATGTGGAAATTGGAAGGAAAAATCGGACAATTTCTCACAAGCGGGGACGCACGTCACCCTCCTTTATTAACCCGCAACAACAGAATATAAAATAAACGGAATTATTTTTCCAGAACAATCCCATCACGTGAAGATGAGCACTATAATTACAATAAGTCAATCGCAACCTTGTTTAAGCTATAGATAGCTAATTATAGATTAGACAATAAGTATTCATGAACAACATAACCACAAAAAGACTTGGTAGTATGGTGAATTATGCTCAATAAACCGAACCTTAAACTGTCATGTAAAGTCGCTACTTTGTCGCAGGCTAAAAACTAATAGTGCAACACTCTCAACTACACCTCCATTTCCATTTGGTATAAACGTAGTTTTCATTTGTTCTCTCTCTCTCTCTCTCTCACACACACACACACACACACACACAGCTATATATATATATAGGCTGAATAGTTGCATGCTGTGGGCTGTTGAGCAGGGCCCTTAACCCCCAGCTATATGGGTGC